CAGACAGACGTGTGTCTGTGTGTGTGTTTGTTTGAGAGGAGGAACAAAGACTCCATCTGGTCCGAGCTTCTGAATGTGCCAGTATGAAACACTTCTGTCGTTCTGAAGTCCCCTTTTGAAGCAGCGCGGAGGTGGAGTGGGCCCAGGCGGAGAGCGATCACGCAGGGAACCCCCAGCTGAAACCATTCTCTTCTCTGCAGCTGAGTTGAACCACTCTCATCAGATGAGACACACACACCCATCTGGCGCATGATGATTCTCCTCTCCTACCTTCACCTCCGCTGCTCTCCGTTTCATTACAGTGTAATGACATGTTCAACAAAGAGAGTGAAGACCCAGGCAGACTTTGGCAATAAGCTCCCCGGGATCGGAGGGCTTTATCCTGAGCAGAAGGCAAAGGTCACTTCGTAGGAGGATATCTGAAGGAGCTGGCTGAGATTTGGATTGGTGGACACTCCTCGCAGCATCCCCCTCAACACCCCACTGCCATTAATTCTCCTGTCTAGAGCAGATCCAGTTGAATTACAGCACAAATACAAAGTAGAAAATACTATTTTGATCTGACATTTTAACATCTCGGCTAAGTCATTTTATCTCTTATTTTCTTTCTCCTGAAGCAACAACAAAAACGTCAAATTCTTGGATGGGTGGAGTCCTGAGCCTCATGTTTGCCTTGCAGGACTGCAATTATTATTTATTATTATTATTTTATTATCGATAAATCTCTTAATCCTTTTTTCATTTAATCGATAAATTTTTTGGTCTCTAAAATGTCAGAAAGTAAAACATGTCTCCGTTTCCCTGAGCACAAGAGGATGTTTTTGATAAACACATTAAGCAAAAAGCAGCAAAGAGAGATGATGGAACAAACAACCAGTTTTGTGTTTTTAAATGACCTTAATGATTAATCACCAAACCGTCAAAATGGTTTTAAATTTGTCTCAGTTGACTAAACAATATATTGACTAATCTGTTTAAGTGTTTAACTGCATGACAATGACCACAGATCTCTACATTTAGATAAGAATGTTTCTTTTTTAAATATCAGAATAAAGTATGTTTTTCCCTTGAGGACAGGAAAACCAATGTGCAATCGACTACCAGGTCTGTGGTTGACCATGGAGATATCTTGTACTGTCATGCTGCTCGTTCCACCTTAAAATAACGATGCGTTTGTTCTCTGTGCTCTGCCTTTCATTACAGGAGATAATTATTGTGCTCACCACTGTGTACTGTATGAAAAAGTAGGCTGTTCCTACAACAAGAAGAGAACTGCACACTCTGTGTATAAGTGTATCCTATAAAATGCCTCAGTATGTACAATTCTTTTCAAATTTAAAACTGTAGTTCGGGAACGCCACAATGACAAAAGCGCCTCGATCCCAAGACTGGCTAACTGTTGATTCCCCCATGAGTAAATACTGAACCTGTGAAGACTGTCTTCCTGTACTGTACTTAAAGTATTTAAAGTACTTAAATAAAGATTGTATACATACTGTATTTAGTCAATCGCTACTATCTCTTTCAGTGCCATTTTATCATAACAGATAGGTGGCAGGAGTGGATAAGCAATCTCTTCTAAATTCTTCTCTTCAATGTCCCCCTCTCCACCAAAACAGCAGCTGCTTTCTCTCTAAACCTTCTCTGATTAAAGTCTTCTGGCACTGCCTGACAGCATGTGCACACCTGCTCACACTGACCTCCAATCCATCTCTTCTACGCCTGCCCGCCACAACTGCAGGGATTAGCATGTCTGGGATAGGGGATAAGTGAGAGGGACGACGGAGGACTTTTAGTCTGACATGCGTGTCCTGTCTCTCACTTGTGGCATTTAGCGTGTGTGCACAGCTGGCTGGTTCCCTGCCTCTGTGCACGCGAGCAGCCTAGGAGGTTTGTGTGCTGTGTGAAAAGAGCAACTGGAGTTGGAGACATCCGTGATAGACTTCAAGTGTGCATAGTTAAAGCCCCAGGCAATTTGGTTTAGAAATATTTCTCTATCACATTAAATACTCATGACTAAATCAGCAACAACTAACGTTAAATTTCAGAAAAAAACATTTATATTAAGAGACTGACACTCGACAACTCAGTTTATCAGGAGTGTGTGGGTGGAGTTTTACTTGATTTGATTTGAGTGTGACAAGCGCAGACAAAACACATAGAAAGAAATTTCTCATGTGAGAATAACACAACTGTTCCATCTTTGGAAAAAACAAATTATTGGACCTTTAAAAACCAACATGAGTATTTTACAGAATAACAACTTTGGAGAAAAATATTAAGGTGGCACTGCACCAATTATACACATGAAGTCCAGTTTACTTATCAGGAGGAGTGCTACTCAGTCTGAAAACAGTTGTCCTGTGTGTGTGTGTGTGTGTGTGTAATGAAAGACAACTGAGATGCAATATAGAAACTGCATTATGGAGATTGTAGGATCCAGCATTTCTTATGCTTATAACAGCTAAAAGCCAGACTATCTCTGCCTCTGCTGCTTCAATTTTGCCCAGTCTTTTAAAAAAGTCCCTCACAAATTCCCTAACTTTGTGGATTAAATTGATGGATTAACAGAACCTCTTTTAATATGAAGTCAAAATCTCATTTGTCAGTCAAAAAATTGAACAGCCTGTCCTCACCAGAAAAACAATTGGACTGGTACCTTCCAACGGTCACGTATGTCATTGTGGCATTGACAATCGACCAATTTTGTCATTTAGGTAGGAATACATGTTATTAACCCCCTAATATATTTTATCTTACCTGACATTTACCTTTACCATAACCATTAAAATTTCTTGTTTTTTGAAGCATCCTGGGCAGAATGGCACTATATTAGTTTTCATAGTAACCATTTAATATCAGTAAGTGCCTTTTTAATGTCAAATGTCATTAGCTAAATGTTTCATTAAGAAAATATTGCCCTTTGTCACAACATTTTGACTTGCCACAGCAGAAAAAGTTATAAATAACATTAAAAATGGCTCTGTTCTATTCAGGTGTCCAAGAAAGCCAAGACCGTATGACAGTGTGGCAGCATGCACGATACCAGGACCCCGAAACTGAAGCAGCTAAAAGGAATTCGGCTGTCATTCTTTTTTTATTGTCTACATTTGTGCTTTAAATACTGTGGCATGTCAAAATGTCTTCTCTGAAAACGGCGTCCACTTATTGAACGCAACTCTTTTAGACCAAGCATGCGGGTGTGCGCATGTGGCTTCCTAACATGTTTTCTGGCTCTGTGGTGATCACAGGTGCTCATTCCTCCAAGCACGTCTGATGGATTAACAGCTGCCGTCACTGCATAATCGTTGACCCCCCCCCCCCACAGATCTGACATTACACAAATTCAGATTCTGATATGACAGCTGCACACACACACACATTTTACAATTTGAACACCAGTATCATGTTATAATGCTGCAGGGACGGTGCCATTTGTTCCAACATACACAAATGTGCTCATAAAAATTATATTATATTAGGCGTCCTTTAGTCTACTAGAAATCCACTAATAGAAATACTGAAAAAAGCAGAGACAAGGTAAGAGCCGCACAAAAGCCAGAGAAATGAGAATGTGATATTTGTTTGATTTTTACATGCTGCACTGCCACTGTCGTTATTATTCATATCCCTCCCCAGGGAGCCTTGTTTGAAAAATGGGACTACAGCAGCCCCCCCCTTCATGTCACCATCTCGCTCTCTCTCTCTTACACTCACAAACACCCACAAATGCACACACACACAAACTTGTTCGGAGCCTTCTTGGGGAAGTACAACCATCGCCCTCCTCCTCCTCCTCCCCCATTCCCATTTTTTATTCCGTCGGTCGTTCTCGGCAATAGAGAGGGATCCAGCTCGATTCCTCTCTCCGTCATGCGGGTAATCAGCCTATGCTATTTCATTTGGCTCAGTAATGAAAGCAATCCCAGTGCTTTTCACTGCAGCGCAGCCCAAATAATGAGGGCTGCCTCACCCCTCCTCAGCAACACCTCACCCCCAGTCCTCACCCTCTCCCTCCCAACACTGCTGTTAATGGATGAAGGAAAGCAAATGTGTGAGGCAAGCAATCTTGCCAAGTCCTTTGTGCCTCTTTTCCTTTTTTTCTGGGTTTGCAAATTAGCCTACTGTATAAAATTCTATCAGCTATACTATTAATCAGAATATTTTCGCATTTTCCTTTTGAAAAAAAAAAAAAGATGTTGCATCAACATTAGTGGATCCCAACCTTTGCTGCATGTGCCCTAATAGTACCATGATACCACTCACAGGTTGCATGTCTACAATTTGTGATCAGTTTCCCTTCTCCACTTATTTGTGATGCATTTTTAGAGGGCTAAAGAGGTAAACCCCCACCGTATTTCACAAGAAACGAGCAAAAATAAACAGGATTTTATGTAGCAGAATTTAGTTTTTCATTATTTCCTCCCATGATTCATCTCCATACCCCTTGTGGGGTCCCAGCCCTCCGGTTGGAAAACACTGATCTACATAAAGATCTAAATGTACAACACTGTTTAGAAACACTTTCATGAAATGCTTTAAAACACCAGGTAAATTATACATCCTGTCATTTTTTACTAAAGACAGAAAATGGCCATAATACTAACAAATAATACAACCCAGTCAATATAGACGTTTGGATTAAGAAATAATAATTTCAATAATTTTCCATTTGTCATTTTCAAGGTCATAATGGCAGAAGTTGGCTCTGCCCAAAAATTTGTTTTTGCCACACAACACTGCAACCAGGCAGCAGACATTGGGAACCCATTCCAGATGGCATTTAACTCAAATCCATCTCACCCACCAGCATGTAATTACTTTGCCAGTGGAAAAAATCTGCGATCAAATATGTAGGAAGTGTGAGAACGTGGCCCACAGACATAAAGTTTTAGAGTTTGTTTGAGAGTGTTCGGTGTTTCCGTATTAACATTTCTTTTCTAGCCTACAGCTCAGCGTCAGAGCTTAGCATTAAGTCAGTGAAAAGACAATGACAGCAGTGACAGGTTGCTTGTTTTCTTTTTTTTTTTTCCAACCCAGCATTGTCTACCAAATGCAACGTAGGCAACCAACAAGAGATACAGGTCAGCAAGGTCAACACAAGTACCAATACAACACAGCTTCTCTGTTGCTTTTGATGAACAATCAACAGGTAACATGGAGATGAGTCAAGCAAATCCTCAACATACAGTACCATGACAGTACAGAACAGACTGAATGAAAATGAACAGGTGTGGCTTTGTGTAAAAAAAGCATCTGAAATATAACTGCTGTTGGTAAAAACCTTATATCTTCAAAAATAGCAATGTATTTTTTAATTTTTTTTATGGAAAACGTGAATTTTCCAACATTTACAAAAGGGTGAGGATGAAAAAGATTTTATTTATTGAATTTAATTTATTGATTCTGGTGTAAAATGATAATCAGCTAAATGTGACTTGTGACGTTTTCACCTAACAACAGCAATATTTTTACCAGTGTCAATGAGGTGTTTTTTGTTGAACAGTAGTAACTAAAACTTAATCGTCTGCAGATCTTCTGTACATTCTGAATATACAGACTTTCTCCCAGCGGCAGCTCTGCTAACTTCCTATGCATTTCAGTCAGCTGTGAAATAAAAATGGAAAGGGAGAATTTCAGATGTCCTGAACCCAGCCCTCTGAGATGAGAGAGAGGAATTTCAGTGAAGGTGGCCTGAAGTTCAGGTATTGCATTTCATGTGAATCGATCCCCCGGATGTTAAGAGACATTTGGCACAGTTACAACAGCAGTGGTGGGTGAGAGCATTAGCCCCTGGTGTGTTGAATCATCAAAAGTAGTCCAGTCCAACAAGAACTGGCAACAAGACAACTGGCACGCTGCTGGGAAGATCCCATCAAACATTCAAGTCTTTCGTCTCCAATCACAATGAAATCCCAGAGGTCTAAGAAGAGCGTCAGGGTCAGTCAGAGTGTCTGCACCAGCACGGGGAACAGCAGGGACAGGTGCTCGGCTCCTCGGATCGGGAGTTTGTGTGAGGTGTAGAAGTGGATGACTTCTGGGATGGTGTCAAAGGGAGGGCTATTCTGGCCCAGCACGTACTTGCCATCTTTACTTTGGGCGAACTTCATGTGCATGAAACCCTGGCAGCTCCTGTGAGAAAAAAAAAAAAGAATGGTTTGAGAAAAGGACGAAGTCAAAAGAAGAAATCGAGTGGGAGAGACCTAGTGAAAGTGAGCACAAAGTGTAGGAGCAGAAAAGAGAGAGAAATGTGAGGCACTTAAAACATCATGCTGCCTTCTATACAATGTGTCACATAATGACACAGCGGGCATGACAGACTGGATTTATGTTGTGTTTATGTGCAAATTACAAAGAAATGGACATTATGATGGATGAATGAGTGGTGGAACAGCACATCGACGGAAGGACAACGCCAGGAGAATGTGTGACAAAGGAGAACGCTGGATGGTGAGAGTGGCTTAGCTACGAGAACCACACTGGTTCCTTGTGCCAGACACGACAGCACTTTCCCTTTAAGAGCCAGCCAGCCAGTCATGATGTATGTCTAATTATAGAAGCAGAGGGAAAGACAAGGGCTGAAACGGTCACCATAATTGTCATTGTTCTAGTAAACCAAATTAAATTTTGAAGAGCAGTGAAACCAAAAACACTCACTGTGACTACAAACAGCCAAACAACAGGCAGTTTGTGATCATCCCACCGGCCTCCGGAGCACTGATGCTTCATCACGTCAGCGCTCATATTTGACAGTGTGCTTTCATCCGGTCCTGTTTGTTTTGGGGGCTCTTTGTATCTCATGGTACACTAGAATTTACCAGCCGTCTTTCATAAATATTCATGTTGGTTTAAATCTGGCGGTCTGTTTCAGTGCTGAATCACTTTGTAATGGCTCTTCATTTTGTCTCCATTAAACAAGCTGTCCTTACTGAAGGGTTTATTGACATTAGATAGGGGGGTAGTGTCAGTATCTTACAACAACCAGCAAACCAGTCACAGCACCCTGATAAAGACTAACATTCTGCTTCTTTCCGATCTAGACACAGACATAATAAATAATAACATTTTCTGGAGACATTAAAGAAAAATTCCAATGTATTACCACGTGGGACATATTTTTGTAGGTTTGGCAGCAATTTCTATCTTTTATGATAACATTGCAGGTATCTGGGAATACAGCAGCATCATTACAACAAACGGTCGCAAACCTCTTCAGGCATACAAGACAAAGACTGGCATTCTGTGTTTATACATTCCAGTAAATGGCCCTGATGCAAAACATCTGACACAAGATTACACTCAAGGGTATTGTAGTCCCTCAGTAAGTGTGGACTTAAGATGAAGCGATACAATGTATGAGACAATGAAAAGGGGGACGCACAATTAAAACATGCAGACAATTTCATACGCCATCAACAATGCTATGCTCACAAAGATATGCTATGAAAAACATCAGCAACATCTGCAACTTTGGAGTTCAAATTAAAAGCTATTTTGTGTTCCTTGAGCTCAGCAATTAACTTACTATGCGTACAATGTTATTATTACTGATTGGAATGATTGGGCAAGACCAAGAAAAATAAAGGCTGTTTGGCTGTTTGAAACCAGAGTTTTTGTTTCAGCTGATTAAAGATCTAAGTGGATTCACCTCTTTTCAGATTGTGCCATGCTGCTGTTCTTTGTTTTGTTAACACTCCGAGGGTCAACTTGGCAGACAATGGACAGTATCACCCTCCAAACAACCAAAATAATGTAACATTCACAGAGTTTGTACTTTCATAAGAGATATTACTCCTTTCAAACTGCACATGCGCCAGCTGGGGAACCAGAGCCAGTAGTGACCTTGTCGCTTGAGCAAATGAGAGTGAGAGTGTGTGTGTGTGTGTGTGTGTGTGTGTGTGTGTGTCAAACCCACTCTACTCATGTAAATGAGTAATGCATGAGCTTGTTTATATGTCAGCACAACACAGTGACACTCCTACCCCAACTCCCCTCTCCCTTCCCTCCCTGATTCCCTTCTTGTGTGGCCCACAGAAGGTAATTCATATTCATTAGTGATTATGGGGAGGATGATGTGTGCACTGAAGTGTGCTCTACCTGCCTGATTACCACTTAAGAGGGCCCACTGGGGCCAAAGAGGAAGGCCATGGAGAGGGGGCCAAGGATGGGGTGAGGACAGAGGGATGATGGGAGAGCGGTGTGAGGCCGGGACGATGGATAATGGTAGTAATTACAACGGAGAGATTTGACCAGATAAGCAGTATTGTGCCCTGCAAATGAGTATCGGGAGAGGAATCAGTGCAGCACTGATGTTGAGTAGGGGTGATGGTGGAGGGCAGGGAGAGACAGATGGAGAGGTGTGGAGACTGCGAAATGTGGTTGTTAGCTCAGGTGGCTTCAAAAACACTTCACACATGCCTCTGTCGTACGGAAGACAAAAAAATTAGAAGTGTGCAATTAAATTGTAAAGCTATTTAGAGAACGATAAATGTGATTGGCTTGTTGTGGTAGGTCAGTGTGTGTGTGCGTGTGCGTCTTACCGTAGAGAAAGGGAGTAGTCAGAGCGGTTGTTCTGACTGTTCCTCACCAGGTAGCTACACTCTTTACACAGCGTTAGGAGCGACTCCGCCTCCGAACGGGACAGTGAACCGTGGTACCATCTGTTATGAAGAACACAAACACACTATAAGATACGGGGATGCCATTAGTTTTTCTAGCCATTTGGTAATAAACCAAAGTGTTGGACAAATTCAAACTTTGACCTGACGATAGTGCTACATGAAAAGTGAAGGGATCACCAAAGCTCTTACAATTCGTCCTCAGGAGTGCATCTGTACCAAATTAAAATTTTCTATTTAATAGTTGTTGAGACATTTCACGCAAAACTACAAACGTCAACCTCAGGTGGCATTAAAGGAGAAATCAGGGAACACCAAAGTCATTAGGATTCTTCATTCATTCAGAGTGCCCTCTAATAAAATTAGAGGGATACGTCAGTCTGGATCAAAGCGCTGAAGCAACCACCAGTCCATTAGACATACCGGCATTGCAATCCACACATCAATTCCTTTACAGCACGATTGAAAGTGTTTAACCAAAGCACAATAAAAATACTATAAAAAGGTAAAAGACAAAACTGTTAGGGACCAACACAACCAATAAATAAAAATTATTTCTTCCATAATAAGGAGACTTTCTTGTACATGACATGACCAGGTCAGACCAAATGCTACAGGTTGACAGTGATGCTGTTTCTCTGTTTAAAGCAGAGCTGAAGGAAAACACAAAGCTTATTACAGCCCACCAGGGTATAATGGGGCAAAATAATCAACTATCATCCTCAAGTGAATTGGTGCCCATGTATGTGTTTATGAGTACACTGTGTGTGTTGAGTGTGTGTGCATGTGCGCTTAAGGGGTGTCCTGTGCTTGGATTTCATTAGTAAAACGGCCCTTTATGTGCGCAGAAATCGCACATAAATTACACCAATGATGTCTGAAATTACAAGACCAAAGTAAATGTGTGTTTTTAATGTTCTGACTTAATTAGTTCTCATTCTAACCTTTCACGGTTCTGTAAGCTCTGATGAGTGCTGCTTAGCCGAAACACATAACCATTTTATTTTAATGTGTCCACACCCTCAACAGATCAAAGCGGTGCAATAAAACTGATTTTTTTTTTTTTTGGCTTTATTTGTAGGATGTACAACCCTGTTCTCCCTCAAAAATTTAAAATCACTTTTATGACAATGTACAAAAATTATATGTGCATGACAGCCCTGCAGAGACATTTACAGCCCACTAAAAATGAATAGCATACACCAAATGCATTTACATGCACAGATACCTGCATAATCTGCGTTTGTTTGATGCATTTAAAGATCATATCTCAGAATAATGTTGAGTCTTACTCTGTGCTGTCCTTGGATTGCCCCATGTGCAAATATTAAATCTTGCACAGCACTGCTCAACTTGATGTCAGCTGATGTCTGTATGATCAGTTCTATTCCTGCTATTTTCCTCTAAGACAGGGCAATTTCTTTATCCTATATTATATTCAGGGTAATTAAATTAATGGCAACAGCCACTAACTTTTAAAAGTCACTGAAAGCATGTAAGCCTCTTAATCTGATTAAACCTTAACTGCAGTGTGGCCTCTGACACATAGCAACTGATATGTGTTAACGTAGCTTTAACAGAGAACTGCATACATACACCTGCTTTTCCAGAGGCAGAGTAGGGTCCACTCTCTCCCCCACCATGGCGAGGCCTTCCTGCGGCATTCGGAACTTCAACCCCCCTCCCGCCAGCGGGCTGGACCTGGGACCCGGAGGACGCAAGCGCTCTGTGGGAGACGAGGAGCGGTCCCACTCTGCGCCATCAAACTGCACTGTTGGCAGACAGGGACAGAAAAAGTGAGTCACCGTGTTTACACAGTTCTATGATCAAAAGGGATTAAAACTCACAGCCAGATTTGGGCAAACATCAGACATCCGGCTATTGCAAAACCACGCATGCAGCTGAGAGACCTCCCTTGGATGGGCCGAACTAGAGGACAGCAGGTCCCGGGCTGATGGACTACAAAACTATCAGCAACATCACAATTACCATTATCAACAGTTTTATGAGTCTCAGGGCGCAGATAAAGGCAGGATGTTGCCGTCTTCTCTGCCAAGAGGCAGTGTTGCACGTCTTTGTCTTCCAGTAGACTACACTGCAGATTACTAGATGTTGACTACAGCGATTCTATTCTGGATCAAATTACATTTACAGACTGAAGTGTTATTTACCCCTTTTGTGCCTAATTTGGGGGAAATTCAATCTACAGAACTTGTAATTAAAGCACTACTCCGTACCCAACATGAGGTGACATCCTGATTTACGGGGAGCTTTTCAGGCATGGTTGATCCAAGAGGGGTAATCTGCTAAGAAGGGAGAGCTTTAAATCCAAAAAATAAGACAACCATAGCAGGGGCAGATGCAGGTGGTGCAGATGCAGGCCGCTGGGTGTTTAGGATGGAGGTAAAGCAGATGTAGGACAACAGCTTGAGTCATGAAGGTCAGGGTGATTGCATATATGTGTGATGGGGTGATAAAGGAAGGCAGGGTGGGATGGGGAGGGGAGGGGGGGTGGTTGGGTTCAGGGTGGGAGGTCACCTTGCTCTCTGACGGGGGGCTCCTCCTCCAGCTGACCCACTGGGGCAGGCCAGGGCAACTCCGACAACTCCCTCATTTCTAATAGAGGGGAGGGGAGCGGGGGGAGGAGGCGAGAGAAAAAGGGAGCGACAGAGTGAGAAAACAGCAGATGGGTTTGAACAAAGTTAAATAAGGGAAGATGTGTGAGAGAGGTGGTGGTGATTAAGAAGTGAGACTGAAATCAGGTGCGAGATTTTAATGTGAGGGGGAGAGTGTCAGCGAGAAGTGAGATGCGGAAGAGAAAGGGAGGCCCTGTTGAGAGCATGTGGGGCGGCGTGTGTGCGCAGATGACAGCGATGTGGGGTCATGAAATGTAGTTAACTACACATCCTGTCATGAGGAGAAGTATTATACTCTACCTCCTGTCTCAGTGCTTCATCACACGTGTGGAAAAACATAGTCTTAGTGTTTCAGACCCTACATTTATAGCAATTTATCAAGCGAGATAAGACTGAAGAAATGCAACACAGATGAAACAGAGAGGACAGGAGAAGTCAGAGGTTGCATTATTTATATTCATCTGAATGATTTCACTTTAAGAAGTTGTCTAGTAGCAGGAGATGCAATGAAAACAAAACGTGACTTATTGTGCACTGTAACCAAAAGTGCAGCGTGACAGAGAAACTGAGGAGTGTGGGGGCAGAATAATGCTCCATTCACTGTCCTACCTACAATAGGAGAGCGGCTGAAGGTGCACGGTGAGACAGGACTGACAATAGCTCATTATCTACCATGGCAGGCAACCATCTACTGTAACAGTCACTACTGCAGCCTTACACACACACACACACCATTATGCGATTTGCCAGTTTCACACGGTACATTCAGCTTCTGCTCACAGCGAAAACGGATTACAAAACAAATAAAAGGAAAAGAGGGGTGACATCTTAATGAGCCGACAAATCCGAAGACCCCCTAGGCCCGCGACATCAAAGGCCATTTGAATGGGCGTTTGGAGAGAGACCCAGGCTGTACATACATGCCTCTCGCCCTCCCTGGTTAATTATTGAGCAGGCAGACACACTCCGCCACTTTCTCTGGCTCTCCGTGAATTATTGATGCATGGTGCAGTACAATGGCCCCATCTGGAGCAGGCCGCACCTCCGCTGAAGCCAGGATTAAAGTAAGGCCTGGCACCCCTCATTGGTAGACAAGCACGGTTCCACACACACCCCACCCCACTCTGCTGCCCATCCGCCCTGCACCACATCACATTTCACACTTCTAATTCTCAAGTAAAACTGAGAGAGACACACTGAGAAAGAGGGGTGTAAATGAGAAGCACACAAAAGCAAGTGAAGGGTAACAAGAAAGGAGAGAGAGAGAGAGAGAGAGAAAATAGAGACAGACAAGACAATTTATTACATATCAGAAATGTGCTCAGCCATCTGAGCAAGAGATAAGCTCAGGTAGCGGTGTTACACAGACGGAGGGGAAAATTCCATCAATATTCCTCTCCTCCAGTATTTTGGTGGCTGTTGTCCTTCATAACAAGTCGTTTTGTCTAGTATTCTTGAATCGTGAAAGTGTGAGACAATTTCAATTGTTTCTATTATATTCGCTATTGGCTTTGCGCTTTGAACATGGACATTTTGTATAATCCACTTCTGGGTGTTTCGTGCATTTCATTTATCTTGATCAACTCACAATAAATTGAAAAAAGGCAGATCACTCAAATAGCCAGTTTTAAACTTTCCGTCTTTTGGCCTCATAGTATTTCTAGTTCTCTTGTCATTAGCAGGTAGTTAACCGCATTCATCCTGCATCTAGCTAGGCAATAAATCACATCAGATTGAAAACGTCACCAAATTTAGTCTGATGTGCATTTCGTTCAACAACAAGTGAAAGTGTCTGTGACTTATGTAATGACCTGTGTGCACATGCACACGCACACACAGCCTTGTGGAACTAGCTTCATGGGGAAACGTCAGACATAATGCACTGCTTAGTCCCTTACTGTAATTATAACCTTGAGGTGGAATCCTGGTTGTTGGATCTCATGAATCCAGTAAAACATGCATACGCACGCACGCACGCATACACAACAGACAGACAGAAACACTGGAGAGAAGTCATAAGTAGGTATTGCTGTGTATGTAGGTGTGATATGCTGATAAATGTGCTATTAATTCACAGGATCACATATTTCACAACGTCTCATGATTTAAAATGTTGTTACCTTATGCCACGGGGTGAATCATTCCACTATCTGTCAGAAATCCATTTTCAGATAATATATTAAAACCATAGACTTCCCCGCCTAAACAAACAGGCTCAACCAAGCTAAATAAGACTAGTGTCTTTCTTACTGGGAGTAAGACTGGAACATCGCAGCTCTTTCCACTGCAACACACACAAACTATGCTTGAGCACCTCACTCAACCTCACATAACAAAAGGCGGACTACCAAGCGCACACGCACACACACACACACACACACACACACACACGGAACATTTGGCTTCCATTGACTTCTAATTGGAACCTGTGGATCTGTCATACATAAAAGGCTCTTAGTGCTCTGTTCTCCAATACAAGGTAATGAGACAGACTAATGGCTTACGGACAAAGGTCCACTCACATCACTGCTAACAGCCTATTTTCATGATTTGTACTTAAAATCTACTACACTTTATAAAATTACATATACTAAAACAAAGGAGTGTGTTTTTCATCTGTTCTTTCTCCCATTTAACCCAACTGATGAAACAGGTGACAGCAATTCAGTAATTTATGGTCTTCCAAAGTCCCACATGTGTCTGGCGCCTCAGCTACCTGCTAACAATTACCAGAAATTATCTGTGGGGGAGAGAGTGACCAGACTAGGTTTTCCTTTCTATGTTGCACACAGGACACATCAACATGAGTGACGGACAACTGAATTGTCAAGCACACCAGCTGTTTTCTGTGTGCTTGTAATATACAAGGAGCAGACAAAGACAATAGGGGAGCTTCACTAGGTCCATTAATGAAGGCATCTGTTTCTCAGACAGCCCTGGCATCCCATCTTCTCTTTGCACACAAAGACCTTCTGCTGGGCAAAACAGCCCCCATAAGGACACACAATTAACACGTCATGCCAGTGAAAGAAAACAAAACCATGCATTCACACAAGTTTCCCTTTCATGATATGAATCCAGACTGTTTTGATTTTAATCTTATAAGCACATTGGCAATATTGACTGTGTATCCATTTTCCAGACATTCATTATATCTATTCCCTTGTGGCTTCATGCTGCTCTGACCGCTTTTCTCTCTATATTGAACATCCCTCTTTCTTCGTCACTCTTTCACCTATCTTCCTGTAAGTGGGGCATTATCTCTCTTTCCATTTTCCCTTGTTCCTCTCCTCTCTTGCCCTACTCTACTTCCATCATCTCTCGCCCCGTCTGTCATATTGGTCCTGGAGAGGGAATCACAAAGGACATGTCTTTTCATTAATGTCAGTAAAGGTTCACGCTGAAGGAGAAAGACAGGCAGTGAGCGATGGGGAGAGGGAAGGGGCAAGATAGGGGACACGTGACAAAGAGAAAAGGTAGGCAAGAGTGAAAGGGAGAAAGAGAGTCCTTCCACTGTGCCAGTAAATTGATGAAGAGGCTGGTCAGATGCCCCCAGGGTCTCCTTAGAGCAATAAAGTGTAGCATCACATTCACGCGTTTGTCTGCTTGCACACACAAAAACATACATTTTCAGTCTCCTACAGAGATATACACACACGCACAATAGCCCGGTAAACATTGTCCCGTACTGTTGGAGCACATGTATCTAGACAACCAGACACACCACATATATACATGGTTCTTTGAGCTAAACGCTAACGTCAGCATGCTAACAACCCCCAATGACACATTTAGTAGGTTAAAGGTTTACCATGTTCATCATCTTAGTTTAGAATGCTAGCATGCTAACATTTGCCAATTAGCCCTAAATACAAAACACAGCTGAGGCTGACGGGAATGTCACTCATTCTGCAGCAAAAACTAAACTACAGGATCACAAGTATACCCACTTTAAAGTATTTTTGTGCTGCAAAGAGTTTATCTGAACAGATAAAAAAAATCTTTTCCACCACAATCTTGCTTACAGGATGCACACATTTATACCCAAGAGCTTCCTGTTACAGCCTCTGTCTTTTGCTGTTGCCTAATGAGCAGCTGCACTGGAACAAGTGGAGTATAAGTGCTTTGCTCAATTGCACCATAATAGTAATTGCACAGGGGGGCAAAGTTATTCATTCACCTTCCCCATCCAGATTTCCAGCTGATCTGTGGCTCTCTCATCATGTGCCTATTCCTCCACCTTTAGACAACCACCATCTGCATGAAATGGCCTCAATGCTCCTGTACTGGGCTATAAACCCTTAAAACATGACATACCTGAAACCACAATTCATCTGTTCATTAGGTGTGGTCATAAGAGGGATAATGAGATTGTGGCTTCCATTAGCTCACTAATTGGTGCTGGATGGCTGCAGGGCAAATATCTCACTGCTGGACTGTCTACTGACTTCCAGGAATTAATGACTGCTGTAATTTGAACTGGATGGTGGTGACTGGTGACAGCTTTCTAACGTTGTAATTAAAACCCAGCGGACTGAGAGGGGCCTGTCATGTCAGACCCCTCAGGCAATGCCAGGCTCAACCTCACACAGCTGGGTATATGGACTCAATATCCAATGGAAAATTAACACTATGCTTTGGAGAAAGCTTATTTCATGCAATATTTTAAGGATAAGTTGTGAAAATCAAAAAAAAAGAAAAAGAGATTCTGTCCAGAAGCACATGCAAGCAAATGCACATATTATTATAATAAGAATAAAAAAAATCACCCCCCCCCCCCCCCCCCACACACACACACACACAGATTTGTGTCAACATCCACACAGCCTCTTCTCACCCTTGAATTAGGCGCCTGACAACGAGAGCTGGGAAACCTAGTTGGGAATCCACATGTGTGTACATATGTGCATACGCCTGTGTGAAGGTGATGATGAGGGGCTGTTGGCAGATTGCGATGCCTCCCTGTGCCCCCTGTAGCGGGTTATCTGAGTGTCACATCCATAGGGAGGGAGGGCTATGGGGACAGCCCTGTCACCGCTACTGCGTTGGTGTATATGTGTGAGAGTGTGTGCCTGTGTTAGCGGATGACTGATTGCAGCCTGCCACAATAGCCCTGACTCCCCCCTCCCCTCCCTTCACCTCACCTCGCCACAGCCCCCGACCATTAATTCTCTTCAACGCCCCTCCCCTCTGAAGCACTGGGCTCCCACAAACATCCATTGAGCTGCCACCAAACATACCATAACCTTGGACGTCCCTTTCTACTTCCCTCCAACTAGCTTTCTCTAGAGCCTCTATATCCATTTTCTCTCTCTGTCCATCTCTGCCTCTCTCATCCCTCCTGTTCATCTCCCCCACTCCCCCATCTTTACCATCTCTCTTTTTTTCTACTCCATCCATGCCCTCCCCATCTCTCCCCTTCCTCACATGGGGGCCGTGCCTTGCACTGCTGAGTGGGTGTCTGGGAATATGGATTAAATGTGAGAATGGAAAATAGTGTTTGTGTGTTTACACTTCAGTGCTTTGGTCTGTTCAGACAGACAGCACGCCAGCTCAGAGTGCTGACTCCAAATGGAAAAAACAAGGGGTCAGACAACCCGAGCCGCACAAGCGTTTTCCTCTACTGACTTCTGTAATGGTGCTGTAAGCGCCCCTCTGCAGGAGTGCATACTGTATGGTGGCAAAAAGAGGGCAGGCTGGGGAGGAAGAAAACGACAGATAAAGCAGGAATGAGTGCTAAGTAGGTGAGAGGTGATATTGGCTTTTAAATTAACTGCCGTGCACCTCCTCTTGAAATCATCTCCACTCTCAAATAAGTTACGGTGTTGCTTTGCTTCTCCTCTGGTTAATGTGATTTGAGGATGAACACAGTGGAATGGATATGTCAGCATGCGTGTGTGTGTGCGTTCAGACAATGGTGAGCTGACCATGACTTTCTTATTAACACTGAATCAGTCACGCACATGTGTAGGCATGTAATTAACTGGAGGGGGTGGGGATGGGGGGCACACACAGGACCGGAAGGAGAGGAGAGTGGGAATGGAGGGGAGTGCATAGAAGGCAAGGTTGATTTATTAGCCCATCACCTTGACCTTGGTGACTTGGAGATGCAGCTCAATTAAGCCAACTTGGCCTGGCATGCCTCACACTGATCCACTCCTAAATGACCCATCAGTCTGGTTCTGTTTATTCTTTTTTCTCTCTGTCTCAAGTCACTCTCTCCCCCCAATTATATTCAATAGATGAAACATTATGGGATGGGATGACATACACTGTCAGTGCAACTTGAAAAATTAATAACCGTGCACTGCGCCAATTATTTAAAACACACTGCCGATAATATGATAATGAAAGAAAATTAACCTCACTTTCTGTTCGCTCCTCCGCTAACCTTCTCTTTATGACATCCTCTGTATCACTCTCATGCAACCATACAAACACAAGACATCTCCGTCAATTCTAATGATCATCTCAGAGGTTGATGGGACAGTGGGCTGTCATATGTGTGAGCGCAAGAAATCAATAGTCACCAGAAAGTGTTTAAATGTAGTAAAAGAGAGACAGAAATGTGTGACAGCACTCTCCATATCATGCAAAAAAGGCTTCGGAGATTGAGTGTGTGTGTGTGTGTGTGTGTGTGTGTGTGTGTGTGTGTGTGTGTGTAGACACTACATTAAAAGGTCAGGACAGTTAGATGAGTTGTTCACCACGTAGTATGAGCAGCAGGGTCCTCTGTGTGCTCCCGGGAGGGCTTTGACCTTTAAAACAGCCCTTTTTGAGCCTGGTCTTAACCATTTTCACTAATTTAATTGAATGATTACCTTACAAAAAAAGGAAGGCATATTTTGGGAGATACCTTATGGTACAGCTACAGGAGCTCAGGTCTGTGCAGTGGGTGTTAGGGAGTCATTGTTTTACTCAAAGAAATTTCAATACAGTGGATGATTGCCAATATGGGGGCTTTAAACTGGGTTTTCAGTTAAAAATGATTTTCCTGTACACTGTTTAGCTGTTGTAGACCGCACAACCTCAATCACTATTGATTGAGCCTGGCAGCTGGAAGGCAGAATAACTGACACAGTATGAGGAGATGGTTAGACAGTGAGGTGGCTCACTTACAAGAGTTGAAACACCAAATAGCTCCTGTAGAAAGGATTTATTAAAGTGGTCACATTTTGCTCATTTTCAGATTCATAATTTTATTTAGGGTTTGTACCAGAACAGGTTTACATGGTTTCATTTTCAAAACACAGAGTTTTTTTTTTGGTCAAACTGCACACTGCTGCAGCTGCCTGTTTGTTGAACTCTCCGTTTTAGCTATGGAGTGATACATCTCACTTGCACATGTGCAGTACCTAGTTAAGGACTACTAGCCAATCAGAAGAGTTGGACAGGTCGTGAAAAGCCGGTAAACACGGCTTTGGTTCAGCTGTATATCCTGTTACCAGCTTGGCAACATGGACTGGAGCAAGAGTTTTAGAGTGGTGAGTTTTTAATCAGTAACAAACATATCTTTCATCTGTAAAGTTTTAACAACTTTATGTCCATGTCTGTCCATAATGTCTGGGAGGGAGAGGAGAGGCAGCAGGTGGAAGTCTTGTCACTGTATGCTGCAGCTCAGAGTGTTTTTCCACCGGTGTTTTTGATGGCATGTTGGACTGGCCGCTAGGCAAGTATTATGACGCGTGTTTTGTTGTGACGTCGGCATACAGTAGAAGAAAAGGCAGAACTACAAACTACCTGTTTTCAGGCAGTTCAGAGCAGTGTTTTCTGTGGGAGGTGGGAACTCCCTTTGGGGTGGACTTAGTACATGCACAAAAAAGGTATATAACTCATTAAAGGAGAGGGAAAAAGCCAAAAAGCATAACATTACCTCTTTAAGCTAGTGATGTTTCAAGGAGGGAAACGAGATAAAACATGAATAAGTGCTAACAGAAGTTTGCGAAATGTTGAAATATAGCAATTTTCAATAAAATTTATGAGCAAAGAACACTGAGTATTCATCCAAGCAGGTGCGTCAAGAGTACACTGAGGGAGAATTAATCAATCATATATTGTACAGCCTAAATGATGTGCAGGTAGGCTTTGTCAGGTTACCTGCAAAAGCTTTGGAGATGTGATCCTTTTTCCATTCCCAGGGTTGATCATACTCATCAGCTGGTCTCTCGTCATCTTGCGGCAGCCTGCTGCTCTCCTTGCCCTCCTCCTGGGGTTCTCCATACACCAGACCCAATCGCTGGCCTCGCTCATCTTCATAGGGTGTGTCATAGAGCTGCACCCCGCCCCGCGGCCGTCCTCCTCCTGGGCCACGCTGCAACTCTGTTGATGCATATGCAAAATAACACAAACTCATGGCTAGACACACACTATCCAGCCTGCATAAAAAATAAAATAATGTTTGCCAGTAGCGATGAGGGTCTCCTAAACACAAGACTGATATTATTCTAAAGCCTGTTGTGCTCTGAAATGACTAGAATTAAAGGCGAGAGACAAAATGATGTTTGCACAGCTTGCCATGGCTCAGAATCTCATATAGCAGGGCTTAACGAGGCCTTGGGCTAGATGCTGAGTAGCAACACTGTAGACAAACCCAGCCCCCCTTCTCTTGTCCATCCTGAATCCCAGCAGCAATCTAGCACGCCTCACAACAGCATCCATGTTCCCTTGTTAACGTTTTCATCACTTTCTCAGTGGGTTCCAACCAAGAAATGTTTCTCAGCACCTGCAACTGTTTTGTGGAGTCAAATATGGCCGTGAGATAAAAGGCTTTAGGATTATTGACACAAGCAAGAGGATGAAATCTAATTTCTGAATGCATCAATAGGAGCCTCTAAGCTGCAGCAGCAGCAATCAACAATGGCGCTTTGATATTTTGACCTCAAAAATGTACCCTTTAAAAAACAAGTGGTACAAAAGAGGAGAAAATGGGGGGGAGAAATGAAGGAGTCAGCATCTTTTGTGTCCACAGCCAGCAGCCTTGCAAAGAAGGTGCACTCACGTGAGAAGGGAACAGGGCTAAATGGAAGGGTTCGTCTGTGAGAGGCAGAGAAAACTTTAACCTTCACACGACAAGACAACGCTATTGGGCAGCACTGTAGTCACCATGGTGACCAAGTGGAGGCTCTGGGGAAAGGCCCTGAGGTTATGATGAAGAGGGGTGGAGGCGAAATGGAGAGGGAGAGGGAGAGAGAGAGAGAGAGAGAGAGAGAGAGAGAGAGAGAGAGAGAGAGAGAGAGAGAGAGAGAGAGAGAGAGAGAGAGAGAGAGAGAGAGGAGGAGGAGCAAGGCGAGGGAGGGGAGAAAGAGGAGGTGGTGGGGCGAAGAGCAGGAGGAGAAGGAAGAGGAAAAAGGAAGCAGTGAGGAAACAAGGGGAGGAGGGGAGTGATGGGAGAGAAGGGCAAGGGAGGGGTGGTGGGGGGTGTGGGTCTGTCAGCGTTTGATGTTAAGTCATTGAGACAGAAGCACAGCAGGGCTGAATGCTGCTCTACCTGCGCTGGGAACCCGCAGTGTCAGCGGCAGCCTGGAGATGGAGAAGATGAAGACGGAGAGATAAAAACAGGCATGGAGGAAATAAATTAAGAAATTCATAGAGAATATTATGGAGGAAAACACAAGCGGGGTGGTGGTGGGGGGAAAGAATATAGCATTTTGAAATAAAAAGGTGGCCGAGAAGATTGAGAGGAATAATGACAGCGAGTGTTTAGGCATACACAAAAAAAACTATAAGCACCAAAGATGTTTTTCCTGTAAAAGTACAGTTAAAAATGCACACAGGTGTCTTTTCAGGACAGTCTTTGTGAAAGATAATTCCTATGTCGATTTCACATCTGTCTTTGCCGCTCTGCAGCGTTTTTTAATGAGCAAAACAGACAGAGACAGACAGACAAAAGCAGGCAGACAGCCCTGGAGTGACAAGCGCAATTCAAAGTCAGTGAAAAGAGCTGTGACAATGCTTTGGCTCTGCCATCACCCCTGTGAATCTAATCTCTCCAATGGCTTTCTCCAACTTCAGTGAGAAAAGGTTTTCTAAGAAGGTTTCTCCGTTGGCCAGAGGAATGGATGCTCCATTCACTTTAACCCACACGTTATATATGAACTTCATTTGATCACCAAAAAGGTAGCACAAGTGATAACGGAGAGAGGACAGGACATAAAAAGTCGCTAAAGAACAGATCAGAGAGACGGCCAGACTCCCCTCAGTGCCGGGGAGAGCCCTCGAAATGAAGAGAGATAGAGAAACGGAGGGAGAGGAGGGGGGTGGCTGTTACACTAAATGACTGGGACAGACCAGCGAGAGTGTGTGGGGAAAGGGGCAAACAGAGATGTTACAGGAGGAGAGACAAATGGAAAACGATAGATGTGAGCTGGATGATGTGGGAGAAAATCAAGAGGGAGGAGGAAGGGTCTGAGACTGGATACTAGATAGACGGCTCTAAAAAAAAAAAAAGACATTTCGTGAGGCTGAGAGCCGACTCAACCTGCGATGAACTAAAAACACACTTGAGTGGACAGTTACAGCACTCTAATGTTGAGCAATACAGCATTTAACACCAGTGTTTTTATAAAAAGGAACTGGACAACACAGAAATGTGTATATATTATTCTGTAAAGGCAGAAATACTTCATTATACAGAAAAGGTAAGGTAATCATCATCATCATCATCTCTAAACATTGTTCATCAAAGAAATTGCTGACAGATAATAGATCAATAATGATATTACTTCATGCCACAGCTACATATCTAATTCATGTCCACCTGAAATGCAATAACATTTCTCATTGCGCTTTTTTTTTGTCAGTAAAGACTGCATTTAACCCTTTGGGATGTACACTTTCTCTAATATTATGAAGGCAATTCTGATTCATTATTTGTATAGAAGAATGGGTTTACTATACATGGAGAGAACTTCCAGAGATAACTAAAAATGAAAAACTTTAATATAAACAGGAAACTGTAAAAGGAATGGGACAAAAACACAGTGCCTCTTTGATAACAACGTCGCTCACTGAAACACTGTAATACAGATAAGATACTGATCTGAACTGATGAGCAATAAAAGTCCACTGACCTGTTATAACTCTCTGGGCCTCATACGGTTCCATGTAGCCGTTGTTTTCGCAGGGAACAGGTCCGATATCTGGTTCCGACCTGTGGTCCAAACGAGCATCGAATGGGTCAGAATAATCTGTCTCGCCTGCCAGCGGAGCAGACGGCACCACCTAAAGAACAAAACACACGCTTATTCATGAAGAGAAATGGGTTTTGTCAGAGGACATTAGTATGTCCCCCTTGGAGAAAAATGTGTGTCATTTTGTGTCTTTATATAATAAAAACAAGCCAATTTTTAAAAAATGTTTTTGTCTTGCAAAACGTGTTGAAATTTCCACTCATAGGCTAAAATGAGTTTGACCTTCATCTAGTTTTCATATCAGCATTTTGGAAAAACTGCACTCTTGAATGTAGCACTGGAATTAAAACATCCAAGGATCCAAACGTTTTCTGGTAATTAGGAGAATTCAGTCTGTAATACATGCATAAATGCTAAAAAAAAAAAAAAAATAAATAAATGAAGGACTGTTGCCCAGACAATAGCTCATCAAGACCCAAGAAGGAGAGAGCAGTGCAACACTCTTTACAAGCAATCACATCCTCACCGAATGGCCCGATAGTTAGTTACAGACAAAACACTTTGAGTATCATAAAGGCACTGATTTGTACCTTTAGTGTGCAGTCTCACAGTATCACACCAATGCTGTGTGTATATAGTAGCTATACAATACAGTTCCCTCTTAAAACCCTTGAAAAGGAAACTATATTGTATCTTACATTTAGGCTATATGCAATGCAGCCAGAAATCGCCCTGTCTGAAGATGATGTGTTCTGGGGCCTTTAGGAAGAGAGAACAGAGAGTAAAGAGGGAGCTGGTTGGTTGGTCAGGAGCATTTGTTCCTTCATGCGAGCACAGGAGGAACACAGTGGTAAGCTGGCACAAAGACAGCTACAAAGGCAGCCATATGGTCACAAACACCCCCCCCCCCACACACACATGTGAACCTACAAACACATACATCCTTGGACAATGTGCGCACTCGCTGTCTCTCTCTCTCTCTCTGACAAAGGAAATTGCTGTAGCCAGGCTCGCTTCCCAAATTTCTGCTAAACATGCACACGCCCTCACAAAATTACATCCTAATCCCATGTTGATTCTGTAACAGGTTACCTATCGATGCACAGGAATCTGCAATGTTAATTAGAGTGCGGATGTTCCCACAGACCCTGGGAAATTAATGAGAGCAGAAGGAGACTGGGGTGGAGAGGGGTGGTATCGACTTGAGTTAAGACTATTACTTCAATCCACTTCAGGACTTTCGCACTTGTAGCATTTTCCATGAGCGGAGTCATGGATTTAACTGCAGTGATGAAAACCCTGAAATACTCCTTAACTTACTCAGCATATGTGAGCTGCATTAATCTGAAGACCATTTCCTTGTAAAACCTTTGCTTTTGCTCCAGTCGCTCTCTCAACATCTGTTTGCCTTTTTCTCTTCGCAGTAGCTGTGTATGTTTTCGACAGCACAACATGTACAGTACATAGCCAAGAAAAGCACTGCAGTCCTGATGACACAAACAGCACCATCGTATAAATCATAGCTCCCTGTGGCCCTTGGCCTATCGCCATACGGCATACACTGTATATGGCCCCTAACATGTGCTCATGCGGGGGTCTCTCTCAGCTTGCAAAACCAAACCCCATTTATTATTTATGGCAGGACATAAACTCAAGGGACTGTGACCCTCCAACCCAAGCCATCGATAATACTTTCTTCCATCTAGGGTAGCGAATTTATGTGGCACATGGGATGTAATGTGATTTATGTAAACAATGCATATTTGTGACACACATTACCAGTCACTTGCTTATGGAGTCTGATCAATAAAGCTGTCATGGTGATGGAAACGGGATGAAAAAGAAGTGGGAGAGTGTATTTCATCCATCACCACTTACTTGCCTTCCCTTCATTCCACCCTCCACTTCACAATACAGGAACCACATAAAAAAACAAAACTTATCACCTACTTTTTGCCTACATCTACAAACACATGCTGAAAAACTGAGGCTCTTACAGACTCTTGCTGGTCCTCTAAAGAGATGGCACTGAGGAGGATCTTGGTGCGCCCCAGGTCCTGGGAGTCCACTTTGATCAGTCTGTGTTTGGGAGATTTCATGTCAACACTGGATGACTTCATGGGAGACCCATAGACAGGTGTTGCAGGGTCAGAAGTCCCAGACTCGACTTTAGACCTGTTTTCGGATTCCTCATAGGGATCCTCGAAGTCTAGGTCCCTCTGGAGACGGTAGGCTTTTAGGATCTCGCTCTCGGTATAGTCTGGTGTGGGCGGCTGTGGAGGCACCTTCCTGCTGCCAAAGCTCAGGTAGTCTTTCAGCCACTTGGCCATCGCAGCTCTGCTTCCAAATGTGCTGGTGTGTGGTGGAGTGGGAGCAGGAGGCTGCAGTGGGTAAACAGGGACAGAAATAGGGATTATTGCTTGCCTTACATCTGGTGAGATTGTGTCAATGGATTGGATTTGTGATGTGTCTTTGTGTTTTTCTCACAAGACAAGATTAATTTAAACTCCCAATCTTTCTCTATTCCAAAAAAAAAAAATAATAATAATCCACAGGTCCTTATCTTCTTATATTTGTTCTGTACAATTTTATTCTGATCAGAGACCCACAATCAAGTGTGCGTTTACATGCACTCGTGACATTAAACTACACCAACAGCTGGGCTTTACGCACTGCTTTTGTTTTATGCAGGGAGCAATAACGTCTGGCAGCTGGACTTTGCCCAAAGGCTGCAATTACATTTCACACCCCTGCAATAAAGTCCAACGTTAACATGTTGATTTAAAAAAGGGAAGACCAAGACTGAACAAGAATATCAAAGCAATGAGGAAAGCAAAGTTAAACTCAATTTAAACAACTAATTTGCTTTCCTTTAGCTATTTCAACAACATAAAACACAACACGCGTATAGGCACAGACTCTTATAGAAAACTGTAAACGCAACCTGAAAATTGGCAAATTTTTCTTGAACTTCCCCTCAAAACAGTCACAGAAACGCTGGATTTAAATACCAGTGAGCGCTGCGCTGCGAGGGCACACTCACTTACCAACCCTATTCAGTCCTTCAGCCACTTTGGATGCTTTATTTCGCGTTTCTCCATGTCGACGGTAATAAAACGGCACAGAGAAGTGACGAAACCTTCCACCGCTCGCGCTTTATATTTCACAAAGGGACAGGAAAAGAGAAAAGTACAGCTTTTCTGGAACAAAACATGAGCGCTGAAATCCACGGAGTTCCTTTATCGACTGGAGGCAAACGTGCGAGTGAAGAGAGGCTACACCTCCGAGAGAAAGTCAACCGAGCGATTAAAGGGGAGGCGCTTCATTCCCCGTGGAATATCCTGCTATTCCCTTTCGCAGTCAGCCGACCGTTCATTCATTGAAATATCTGCACATCATACCGCCTGCAACACGAGATGCATCCTTAAGCACAATAACTGCATGGGGAAAACAAATTAGGAACTGAAGAACAGAACCTGTGTGTCTGTCTGTCTGTGTGTGTGTGTGGGTGGGGGGGGGGGGGGGCTGAACTCGCACGAATGTACTCCTAAAATGTGCATTATTTATTCGCATGACATCACGGGAGAATTGGCCTGTTTTAGCTTCACTGAAAGTTTTTGAAATTATTTTGCAGTTTTCCCTAAAATAACAACAAAAGCCTGCAGGGTTGTCTGCTTCCTCATAAAAGGGTTTGGTGGAATGACTTTAGGGAAATCCCATCATCCTTAGGTCAACATGTAGCGAGGTGTAGAAAGAAGTGTAGACACACAAAAAAATAAATAAATCACAAAAACAAGACGACAAAGCCACTGAGGCCTGTCCACTCTGATTGAAAAATAATACATTTTGTTGATTGTGTGCTTCATTCCTATTGTTTCATCCTTTTCACTCTCCCTGAACGTGTTTCATCCTCTCACAGATGTCCCTTTATCCAAGGCCCACGCTGGTAAATTGGATTGTGTGCTAACAGTGGGTAAGGCCATCTAAGTCTGTTAAAAGACCGTAAATGCCTCTCTTTTTCTTTTTTTACAACACTCATGAGCTCACTTTCTCCCAGGGGTGGGAGACTGGATGAGGTCATTGAGCTAGAATCCACCCCCACCACTATCACCACAACCATCAACACTCTCCCATCAAGACCTTTACATCTTCCTCCTTCTGACTGTCTGGTCCGGCTGCTCCAGTGTTTACCAAGCACAGGCTTCAGACCTATAAAGGAGGGTCCTCTGGATCAAAAACAATCCCCAAACTGTTTGTGAGGTGAATCTGAAGTTACCAAAGGTGTGTGATTACAAACATCTTGCATGTCCCTGCAGTCCAATTTAAATCAGTTATAGGGGGGAAAACCATAAACCTGGGGACAGGGTTAATTTCATGACATCAGCCAATACAAAGGCCTGTCAAATGTGTTTATGTGGAAAAGAAGTTCTCCAGAGTTGGAAAACCCCCTGGGCTCATGTACCTGTTTAATGTATCCTTCTTGCTGCACTAGTCCCCCCAAAAACATTAACAGTACAGGACTGTGGCAACAAGATTCATATATATTTAGAACCAGTCATCATCATGTGGGAAGAAGATCAATATGTTGTGCTAAAGGTTCTTATCTTAGAGGGAATGAGATCCAGTCATTCAGTAAGTTGATACAGATCTTGTAGACACAACATAGATTGAAAAATATGTGTTGTTCCCGTAAGATAATAACTTCTTCCCACAAGTTAAGATATTTTTCCTCACATCTAAATCCTTCATGGATGCAGCACCTTTTCTGTATCTTTTGTATGCCCCATCCTCTCCCCCTTGCCCTTTATCTGCCATTCTTTACCAATCTTTGAATTTTTATCTCCCGTCATATCTTTAAATGTACCAACAGTCTTCCTTCTTTCCCCCCTTCCCCTCAGCTGTACGTTCTCCTTTTTTCATCTGCACAATCCGCTCAGTTTTAACGCCACCCCCCCTCCTTACAGCTCAGTAAGATATTGAACATACATTTAACTTTTGTTTCCATCCTGGCCGGGGTGAGAGCCAGAACTGTGTGGAAAAAAAGATTGAAACTGGGCAAAAGATGGAAATATCAGAGAGAGAGAGACAGGCGAGCTGTCAGATTCAGCAAGAAGAAGATACATAGAGAGCATGGGGGAAGAGCAAAACAGAAATGGAAAATCAGCATCGCTCTCAGAGAGCAATAATCTCAGACAGCCAGACAGACAGACAGGTATAAAGTCATTGTGTCTTTCCAAGTGAAATAAACATGGCTGCACAGGAGCCAAACATTTAATTGAATCAAACAGAAATAACAAGGCGCTGTGGAATATTTCAGAAAATTAATAAGACTCCCTCATTATAAAGGGCTAAATATGGATGTGACATTTTCTCTGAACTTCACGCCTTCAGTTGTTGCTCCTTCCCAGCTGAACAGCACCATGTGAATCTGAGAGGTGCACAAGCGTGCCGTGGAGCATCAGTGGCTGTGGACACTCATGTGCAACAGGACACACGTCGACAAAGGTTATCTTTCAAAGCCATGCATTTCATTTGAATATGAATATGATCATGAGTCTTTCAGCTGAATTTAGTGGCTGGAAAAGAGGATACACAGACTTCAACAGCAGAAAGTAGTGATTTCCATAGTTTCCTCTTCCTTGCATTTACTGCCCTCATTTGGTTTCTGGTGTGTATTGCGTGTATCATTTAGAAACGACAATAGAGGCAGGTCTCATTTAATTTCATAGCTTGTGGAAAATAAAAAAATAGCCCAGTAAGTAGGCAATCCATTCATGACCAGTAAGCGGGCAATGTAAATGGACATAACATATATGAAAACAGAGGCTTTAATTCCACGGTGAAATATGAATTTAATAATATATATAAGCTCATAACACCGATAAAAGTGGAGTAGCCTAACATTTAAGTTAACCCTGCACCTGCATTTTTACTCACCTTTCTTAGTACAAGTGTGAGCTTCCGGTTTCAGCTGTTCCAGCGTTGTAGTTGGTTGATATCACTTTCACGTTTCGTTGATTGGCTAAAATGTCCCAAATGAGGAACTTTCCCACAACCCCTCTGCTGAATTGTGAGCTAGAGGTGCTGCTGAAGAGGAGGACACCAACAAAATGATAAGTCGTAGCCCACATGACGGAATACAACTCTGCAGCTTACAGCAGCCTGTTAAACACTAAATAACAGCTCTGCGCGGCAACACGCGTCTTCAGAAATGCTCCACGTTGTGCGGGCTGCGCTGCACAACACAGACACAGTGTATCATCCATCATCGCCAATCAAACGTTGATCCGGCGTTTTGCGCATTGCTGATTGGTTGATTTACGATTGGGGCGGGTGTATTCCTGCTGTCCACCAGGCAGCAGGGACTTCAGTGTGAGCAGCTGATGGGACAGTCGGAACACTCACCTGGAACAGTAGGACTGTCCTCCACAGGTAGGCTGCATGTTTCTGCTGATACATTTATATTTGTGTTAACTGCGTTAAGGTTTGTTTGTTAGCCAGGTGTTGTTGGTACATTCCTTATGTAGCCTATTCCTAAAATGTTAGTGCGCCCACATGTTGCCATGTTGCTGCGACCGCTGTTGATCATGGTTAAGTAAATGAAACCATTGAAGACACATGGAATAGCCTGGAACTTAAAATAAATGTAATTTATTTTTTTTACCTTGTTCGTTGCAGTGTTCCTGTTGACACAGAGGCTATCCACCCATTATGAAGAGTCTGAAGGCAAAGTTTAAAAAGAATGAGGTAAGAGCCATCTGTTGTAGGGCATGTGGAGCTTTATGGTTAGGTGTAAAAGTAGTACACCTGTTTTCTACTCCTACAAGCTATTTGCATCATACAAGCTGTGTTTTAACCTAATATTACAGTGTTCAGCTGCTCTACAGTAAGTAGTCTGTGTGTGTGTGTGTGTGTGTGTGTGTGTGTGTGTGTGTGTGTGTGTGTATGGGTGGCACTGGGATTCAGTGTTACTGAGCAGCAGCAGGAGAGTGTGGGGGGGGCTGCTGTAACCAGATATCTCAGGTAGCCTTCAATTATTCACACACACACACACACACACACACACACACATGCACACACATACAAAGGATCCTTACTTTCCTTCTGCCACCCCTGTGGTACTCTGATGGGCTTTGTTATTTGGGGGTTAACCTTGTTCCCTAATGTAGCCTACTGTATTTTTCCATGGAGCCAAGTGCTTGTTGCAGGCTGGCATGGGGTCAGTGACCTTGCCCTCTTGCAGCACTGGGGCACTGGTACATGCAGATAAACTAACAACCACTGGCTCTACAATGTGGTCTGAGCATTTGGATCCTGAGGATGCATTTAGCACCATTACAGCATAGTAATATCTGTCCCCTTAAAGAGAAATTCTACCTCCCTGTTACCTTAGACGGCACACTTGGTGATCACAACAACAATGGTGACAATGAGGATCTCCTCGGATGAGGCTGATGAGTAGTTTCATTTAGTAGCCACTCAGTCCTGTGTCATATCAAACGGACTGGTAAGATCCTGCATATCCGCCAGGGTTTCCCCACATACATAAACCCCCTCCATAGCCTAAAAGACTATCTTAGATTTCAGCTTGTTTGTGTGCCTCATTATGTCCCCCTCTGTCCCGTAAATGACCATCCAAACCGGCGGAAGAGAGCCAGCTTGTTTCTCCCCTTTTTGCTGAGTCCTCACATCACGCAGGCCCTGCTCCGTAACTGCAGGGAAACAGATCTACAGTGTGACGCTGCCAGGGGGGTACCATGCAGGACCTGACAAAAAAACAACTAATGGATTGAAGGAGGAAGCCTGCTACAGAGAAGAAGGCTGCAGAGAAATTATTAGGTTAGAGAAAGGAGGGCAGCTAGGAAAGGAAGGGGTTGGCAGTGTGTGAGGTGCAGCGGGCAGACTAGCAGCCGAGGCAGGATGATAGGATATCATTTTGGATGCGGACAGAGAGCACTGCACTGGGAGACATTGTGACTGCAAATAGCAGTGATATTGTGTGTGTGTGTGTGTGTGTGTGTGTGTGCGTGTATGTCAGAGTTTTTGTGTGTCAAGCTCATCAGTTTCATTGGAGGTGTGATTTTGGGGATTGAACAAATTGTCTGTTATGTAGATTACTACTGTGACGCTGCTGTGACCTCTAAATGGTATCTGGTAGAAACTTATCGGTAGCAGATTTCTCTACAATATCTGATGTAAATGTGTAGATTGTTTATGTAGCCAGGCGGCAGTGTGCATCGTCAGGCAGGACACACAGCGGTGGCTTGGTACTCTGTAGCTGTATTTAGTTATGTGAGTGTGTGTGTGTGTGTGTGTGTGTGTGCGATGCCTGCTAGCCATTATGGATCCTCAGCAGCCTGTTTTTAGCTTGATGAAGCGGTTCTGTCCTTGTTTCAGCTTACTGCCACTGCCAGTAGGTATCCTCTTTCTATCCACTAATCACAGGGATAGAAAGTAAATTGATAGTTTTATCCTTTATAAAAAATATTTCTTCTTATGTCTTAAAAGTATTTTATTGTAACTTTTAAAACTGTCATCTCATATTCTGTTGATAATCTCTGGCTAAACAATTTTCTTAACATCATCAGTGGTTGTTGCAAATCCTAACTGCATTATGTTTCTTTAAGCTGCACAGTCATCTGTTGTATTGTATGTTATAAGAGATATGCAGCATGGTATCAGTTTCCATTGAGGCAGTTCAGGGTGCTGACCCGTTCTCTGGCTTGGCCGCCCTCAGAGTCAGGACTGGAGCAAAAATGATGAGAGGCTCCTGCAGGCTGTCGAGCAAAATGAACCAGACAAAGTCTCCGCTCTCATCGCCAAAAAAGGTCTCTGCCCTACCAAGCTGGACGCTGAGGGCAAGTCAGCGTAAGTTGGGCAACTGATTTTACCTTCCTTAGTCACTGGAAAGCAAAGTAATTTTTCCTGGAAATAGTGTGGGCTAGCTATTAAATAGCAATGGGGTTGTAATAATTCCAATACCTTTATTAATTCTGCTAATAAATGTAATTCTTTTCCATATTTCTCCCCTTATTCCTTTTTTGGTAAATGGTAAAGTCACTTTATCTTGAACTAAAACTAACCAAATGAGTGGAATTAGCAGTTGGAATGGAACAATTCTCATGAATCAGAAATTTAAGATAGCTTTTAATTTGTCATCTCTAATCACTACTGACATGTACTGTCCTTGTCCTTCTGGCAGGTTCCACCTCTCTGCATCCCGAGGCCGGCTAGACTGTCTGGAGGTCATCATCTCATATGGAGCAGACCTCAATGTCACTGATGGGGCTGGTAGGGTTATTTTATTATCAGAATACAAGTTTTATCTCAAAAGCCATGGCTGCCCAGTCACGTGTGCCATAGATTTTTTTTATAAATGTCTGTTTATAACTGATTCCAGGATGCAGCGCCCTTCACCTCGCAGCCAAAAACGGCCATTCAGAGTGTTTAAAGAGACTCTTACAGGTAAAACACAGAATGGCAGCAAAGCCAGGTTAATTAGCAAATCTTTTACTGCTGTTTGCTGTTATTTCTATTTTCCCTGACAGGAGAGATTAGCAGTAGATTGCACAGACAGCATTGGTAGGACGCCGCTTCATCATGCAGGTACAGTTTCATAACTAGACACCAGTTTGGTTACATAACAGTACATAACAGTGCATACAACATGTTCCCCTCATAGAGCCCATTCAACATATTTTAAGTGTTAAAAGTAAGCTGGTATAATAGGAACAAAACTCTTTTATCTACCACCCAAACTGCACAGAGAAGTTCTTTAAATTACATTTCATGATGTAAAGTACAACACATGTTATACTGCATGTATACCTCTATTATTAACCATAATTCTGATTATTTCCTGCAGCCATCAGTGGCTGCTTGTCCTGCACTGAGACCCTGTGGGACTTTAAAGCCGATCTGGATGTACAGGATGGGGTTAGCAGTTTATTTACTTGTTATGTGAGATGAATAAAGAAATGATTATCATGGATTTACTTTTTATTTACTCTTGCTCTTATCTAGTACATTAGACAACATTATCTGTGTTGTTGCTCCATGATGTTTGAATAATCACGTGTATCTCTCGGTCAGGATGGGGCTACCCCTTTGATTTTAGCAGCCCAGATGAGCAGAGTGGAGCTGTGTGTCTTTCTGTTGGGTCGAGATGCCAATGCAAACATACAAGACAACCAGGGAAGGTCTGTTAATGATCTTTTTCTCCTCTTTCTCTGTATGGCTGTCAGGGTTTGGTGAAGTAGCTTTCCTCAGTCTATCTTGGTGGCTACTGTCTTGTAGCTGCTGAAGCTTTGACAAATGGAATGACGAAGTGTCTAATGGGAGGCCTGCCGAGGCAGATTGGGGCATGAAACAGCCTTCTTGGCTAAGCTACAAACCAAAAAACCTTTTCAGGATTACTCTCACAGCAGTGGGGTTGTCTGGGTCAGGATACCCATAGAAAGTCTCCAGTGTGTGGGATGGATTTGGAAGAATGCAGGTCAACACCTCAAGCTTTCAGTTTGGCCATTAAAATCTTCCTTTTCAAGCTGCATCATTACACCAAATGAACAAATGTTAATTTCTTGTGATTCATATATATAAATTGCCCTACAATTCATCCTGAATCACAACCTGATTGATATCTTGACCAAAATAAAAAATAGATATCAAGCATACTGTATATTTCAAGTGAAGGTCTAAAATTGATGTGTGTGATTCTTTTGCATTGTTATTTGGCTGCTGTTTTCATGTTCTACTATGATATTTGTTTGTATGAAATTGCAGGTCTGCATTGATGCTGGCATGTGAGAGTGACAGCGTTGAGACCGTGAAAGCTCTCCTAAGAGGCGGGGCCAACACACAGCTGGTCGACGCCCTCGGACACAGAGCCACCGACTACAGCATAACCATGGGCAACCAACGCATCATGCAGATGTTGCAGGACGGAGCACCTCCAGGTACAGTATGAGGCCTGAAGTCTTTTTCTTTCTTTCGTAGAGATAGGCCCTCCTGATGATTCACTCTCTCTTTTATCGTATTACTGTAAATCAAGCTTAGTTAGTTTTGATAAATCAGGTGGAATAAAAGAAACAACTCATGAGAGCTGTTATTTTTTATATAAAGTGTCAGCGTCATATGAAACACGTGGCAGCAACATTTAACAGATCGTTCGACCCAGTATATGGCTTCTGTTTGTGTGCTGTGCTGCTCTGGATGCTGGCTGTGTCTCTGCTCCCTGAAGAAACAACTGTAATAGGAGGAAGTGGCTCAGGAGCACAGCTGGGTGTGATTGTAAGGGGGGGTTTAAAATAAAAAGAAAGACAAAAGGCTTGCTCCACTTTTATCTCCCAACAAAGACACTGTTGATTTATGAAAAACAGATGTGTGGCTGGTTTTGAAAAGGAGATGAAGGAGAGAATTTGGTGGATTTACTACAAGATAAATGTATGGTACTAACATACATTACATGTTAGAAAAGTGACAGCAGGTGAGAGTGTATACACTTCTGTATGTGCACATACACATGCCTTTTGTTTGCTGAACCACACTGGTTTAAGGGTTAAAGTGTCTTGCTGGTTTTCTTTCCCTCTGCATACGTAGCTTCTGAGGGCGCAGACGAGGAGGTAATGTTGCATAGCTGTGTGCTGGATCACTCCCTCCATCCAATGAGATCATGGCCCTCTTTGGCCGATCATATTGTGCATGTTTTCCAATATGAGGTCATCGTTTTTGTGTGCTGCTTTCTTTTTGTTGGCTTTCGTTCGTCCTTTGTTGCTGACCCTTTGTCTTATCTCAGTTTCCTCTGTTTTCCCATTTTGAGTTGAGCTTCACCTCTGCTTGACTGTGATCCCCCTCCCACCCCCACGCAGCCCCCCCAAATCCCCTCAGGCGCCTCATCAATGCAAGGGGGCACTACCCCCCGCAAACGGAAAGCTCCTCCACCACCCCGCTCTCCTCTCCAGGTACTGTGAGAAACATATCAGATGGTTTAGTTTTTTAGGAGAGACAACATACAACCAGGATAAACAAAAACTGTGTGAGAGCAAACAAGAAAAAAGGGTGTCTTTTTAAATTTATGTTGATTTCACTATATTCCCTTTGCTAAGATCTCTGTAATATAACATTGCTTCTTGAGAGATTAACTAAAGAGTATCATGTCTTTGATAACAACAAAGATTCATTTTGTTCTGTTTTCCCATCACAAAGATCCAGGGTTTGCCACCCTCTCCACAGCCCCGGAGTTCTGCTCCACCTGCCCAGTCCCCTGAGCTCCAGTCCCTGTCTCCTTCTCCCTCTCCACGGCAGTCAGCCCAGGTGAGCACAGTAATTCTTGATTTTTGTTTAGTTATAGCTGCTGTTAGTCCTGCATATTAAACAATAGGCAGACATTACTAATTTATTTTTTTGTGGTTGTCTGTGTAAGCCAGAGGATGAGGAGTTTGAGGTGTTTGAAGAGATTCGACGGCTGCGTCTGGAGAGAGGCCGTCTGCTCCAGAAGATCAAAGCTTTGGAGCAGCAGCAACAGAGCGCTCTCTCTGCCTTGGAGGAGGTAACACCACATTTGTGAAGACAGAGGCTTGCTTGTTAGAACCACCATTTTTACATGTGTATATGTACTCTAGTTGTCCCAGCTAAAGCAGCGTCTAGAGGAGGCAGAGGCAGAGAGAGACAAGCTGCTCGAGGAGCTGAAGGGAGGCCATAGTATTGGGGCCAGTGACTCTGATGACATAGATGAAATGTTGGACTTCTCAGGTATGTAATCTACTGTATGTGTACATGTACTCCCCAGGCCCTGGCAGAGAGGATGCATGTAGTTTGATGCATGTGTCCCTGCTGTTCCACATGGGCATTCCTTGTGTGCCTATCCCGTCAGGAAGTGCACCAATTTATTGTTAATGTGGTTGCCCTTGAACTTTCCCTCTAGAGAAGCTGCTCTCCAAGCGCTCCAGAGCCTCCCATTCCCAGGGTGAGGCCACTTCTCAAGCTGACGCTGACTCAGCCCACCCCTCTCCTGCCCCTGCAGACCCAGGAACTGTTGCTGAGCTGCGCAAACAAATAGAGGAACTTACCTCACAAAACTCTGAGCTAGCTCTCAAAGTGCAGGTAAGGTCAGGGATAGTACAAATGCACAAATAAACACTCTAATGTATGAATACATAAAAGCACACAAACATAATCTTCTTTTTCACTCTCACACACACACACACACACACACACACACACACACACACACACACACACACACACACACACACACTGTTTGTTCTTCTATCACTGTGGGGACATTGACAAAATACATTTCTTTGCCCCTTACTCTATCCTTACCATCACAACTACATGCCTAACCTTAACCCTTACCCTACCCCTAACCCAGTTGTAACCTGAACCCTAAAACCATGTCTTAACCCTCAAAAGCCGTCTCTAACTGTGGGGACCTCAATTTTTGTCCCCATCGATTAATGTGCATTCAGGTTGAAGTCCCCACCAGGATATAAAAACATGAAACACACACACTGCCTCAGGCCTCTTTAAGGAGGAGACATCGATGGTGAAGTGATTATTAAATGGTTCACAGTAGAAGATGAAGAGAGTTAAGAGTAGCTTAATGTCCCAGACTCAAGCATTAGTCATGACCACTTAAACTCTATGACGCTACACTTTGGTACACTAATGCACTAAGGCAGTTGTGTGTTTGTGCAGGTATAAATAGACACAGCATCAGATGCAGACATGGGGGCATTTTGTTGATATCCTTCACTAACTGGGTCATGCTGGTTGGAGCAGTGAAGTTTGTGTGAAGTATTCTGTTCTGGTGTGGTTCATTCATCACTGCATGAGTAGCAGCGATCTAGGTCAAGTAGAATGGGGAATCTGAGGTCTGATATGAGAGCAAAGAGAGATTAGGTCTGTGGAAGAAGGTCAGAAGTAAACTAGAACCAAAACCTAGTGCTATGATCTAGATGCCGGAGGTTTCATAACTCATACTGACTTAAGTTAATTAAAGGGCAGCTCCACCAATTTACATAACACATACATGTCAGTTTACTAGTCATTTGGAGTACTATGTAGCCTGTTCAATGTCTTCTGTGGGAAGCTTTGTCAAGTCTGAGAAAAAAAACATTGGATGATGTCACCATGGACTTTATAAATTATATATTATAAATAACAATATACAAACAGAAGCTCTGTCCCACAACTGTATAGAAGTACAATACAAAATTACTGGAGTTCTCTTTTAAGTAATGAATACCTGTCAGCACCTACTTACAAGCATAGCATTAATAGCCATTCTTTTACTAAACATGTTAAGTGTGTGCAAAGGACACTACATGTAAATTCTGTGCAAGTTTACTTTACGGTACATAGCTCAGGCATATAATTGCAAGGGAAACAACCTCCATAAGCTACTGTCATGTTCTCTGTTGTACAGATGCTGGAGATGTTTGAGAAGGATGACACAGACATGCAGACCTCCAGCACGGACTTTGTCCCCATAGTTCAGTACGACACCCTGAGGAAGGAGCTTGAAGCCCTTCAGGAGCGCTTCTCTCAGGCCCAGGCTTCAGACGAGGTCTCCAGTGTGGCAGAGAAGCGGTAAGATTGACTGATTTATACATTCAAGCCCATTTATGACTGAAGCAAACTGAAGTAGCCATCACAGATCACATTAACTTGGACTCCACTGCATTAGATCAACCTCTATTCTGAGATGTGCCCATCCTTTCTAGCATCAGTTCCAAAGTCTCAACAGTATCTGCTTGGGGCCCCTGTCAGGGCTTTTTCAAAGTGCTGAGCATTTACATTTTTCCTGCAGCTGGAGGCTGAACAGGCTTAGGGGCAAAATGTGTACTCATGACATCATGTTTTTAATGGTGTCTTGACCTCTATTACATGACATGTCTTGTTTTTCCAACATATTTGTTGCTTATCTACTATCTTGAAGAATGATACAAATATATGTGTATTTGTACTATCACGGGTTGCAGTTGTATATTTCAATAATACAGTGTTAATGTGTTACAGTCTGTACGATGTAATGCTCAAATCATTAGTTGGTTAATCGATTAGTCAATAGCAAGTCAGCCATTGATACTTTTCTCTCTTTTCTCTCTTTTACATGTTTGTAAATTGAATACATGTGGATTTTTGGACTGTTCGCATGACAAATCAAGCAATTTGAAAACATCACTGTGGGCTTTGAGAAATTGTTTTTTTAAGTCTTATAGACTTAGTCGTAATTAGTTAACCCAGGATATTATCCACATATTGATCAGTACTGGAAATAACCCACAGTATGGGTTATGGTATGATGTTAGACATGTTTCTGTTCATTGTTTTATTGGTGTGACTTATTTGATGACTAAATTGTTTGAGTTGGTTCTTGAAAGATTGTTAATCTTTGTTTTGTTTTGCAGTGGCAATGAGGAGTCTCAAGAACGAAGTGCAGATGCAGAGAGTGTGGAGGCTCTGAAGGGGCAGCTGCGAGGCCTGGAGGACCAGTTGGCCTCCTCCCAGTCTGAGCTGGAGGAGCTGAAGGAGCAGATGCGCCTTGGGGTGCTTTCTGTGGAGTGTGGGGAAGGGGATACTGCCGCAGCAGGTGGTGGGGCTGAAGGTCTGAGCCAAGAAGCACAGCAGCTGAGAGCGAGGGTGACGGAGCTAGAGGAGGAGCTAGCTAAGACACAGGGTGAGGCAAGGGGTCAGAGTGGCCAGGACAGTGACACAATCAAACAGCTGAAAGAGAAAGTAGAGGAACTCAATGCTGCTCTGGCCCAGAAAGACTCTACGAAACAAGAAGGGGAGAAAGACGGCGAAGTAGAAGAGACGGAAACGGTGAAGTGTCTCCGTGATAAAGTGGCTGAGTTGGAGGCAGCCCTGGCAGAGAGCAGAACGTCAGTGAAAGAGGAAGGAGCAGCAGGAGATGGAGATCAGGTCCGTCGTCTCCAGGAGCGTTTGGGAGAGCTGGAGGGGGAGCTGAGAAATTGTGTGCCCCGCTCGGAGTTAGAGGAGGTCCAGGTGACTCTCGGGCTCCAGTGTGAACAGCTGGCCAGGGAGAGGGTGGACGTGGCTAGAAGGCTCAACGATGCTCTTCTGGAGCTGGAAAGACTCAGGCCTCCTGCAGGCGGAGATGAGGAAGAGGAGGAAGACGAGGAGGAGCAGTCAGAGAGCTCAGAGCCCTCAGTCTTATCAGGTGTGTTGGTTGTTGTTTTTTCTACTTTAAGTAAGGTATGTGTTCAAGAGAAAAAATGTTTAAATGTCTTAAATTTAAATGGACTTTTCTGTCCATTGTGTGAACGATCATGTCTCTGTCCAATCAGGGCATTCCAGACGCTCCCTGGCAGCAATGAGAGAAGAATTGGAGGTGGCAAGGCAGGAAGCAGCACAGGCTCTGGACTGTCTGTGTGCCGAGCGGGAGGGCCGTGCACAGGATGCCCTGCAGCTGAAAGACGCAGTGCCACTCTCAAAACATAAGGAGGCACTGTCTGCAGTGTCAGAGCAACTAGCTCAGACACTGCAGGAGCTCCAGGAGGAGAGGACCCTTCGTGGTCAGGCTGAGGAGCAGGTTGCCAGACTAGAGGCCGAACAGCAGGCCATGCAGGATGCCATACCCAAAGAGGAGCATGAGAAAGTCAAGGTCAGCAGGGGAAATAGGCGTGCCAGTCAGGGGTATAGACTCAGACAAAGGGCAGGGTTGAAATTTTGCTTCTGTTTTATGTTAGGGTATTTCCCAGTGTACCACATGCTCTTTCTTCAGGGGCGGCATGGTGGTGCAGTGATTAGCACTGACACCTCACAGCAAGAAGGTCGTGGGTTTGAACCTTGGTCACCCCAGGCCTCTGTGTGGATTTTGCATGTTCTCCCCCGTGTCTGCATGCGTTCTCTCCGAGTGCTCCAGCTTCCTCCCACCGTCCAAAGACATGCAGGCTAGGTTAATTGGTCACTCTAAATTGTCTTTAGTGTGTGAGTGGTTGTTTGGATATGCGTGGTCTTGCGAGGGACTGGCGACCTGTCCAGGGTGTACGCCGCCTTTCGCCTGATGTTTGCTGGCATTGGCTACAGCCCCCCGCGATCCTGTACACAGGATAAGCAGTTGACGATGGATGGATGGCTCTTACTTCATTAAACAAATAATCCAGAGGAGGCAGAGCCACCCCAAAACCTTGGCCCTGAAATGGCTGTCCCTAAGTTGATATTTAATTTTTGCAGCATTTTGAATCTTATAATTCAGACAGGGTCAGCACAGTTTTCAGCTTTGTGACAATGAATATTTTTGATAATCCACTGGTTGTTACATGATTTATTTAACTTGTATGTAGGAGAATTTTCTCAACCCTAGTCATGTAGCTAGCGTGCCAATTACAGACAAAACAATTGCATTTCAGTGTTACTTAGGAGTACATTACAGCTACTAGGTTTGCTATAACATTTTAGTATGTTACTGGTCAGACTGTACATTGTAAATTTTTTATTTTATTTTAATTTTTTATTGAAAATTATTCCATATACAAAAACATGGCATTAAGTTGTCGCATGTTGCAGAAAGGAACAAGTGCATATCAAAATATAGGCAAAAACAAAAAAGAAGAGGAAATTTAATAAAAAGAAAAAGGCTAGGTTTTTTTTTTCTTAGTTTCTTAATTTTCATAATGTTAAGGGAAACAAACTCATTTGAAATACACAAAACGTAGGATTCACTTTCGAAAACTTCCCAAGTTTGATAATGTTATTAATCAGAAAATCATCTTTGTTGTTCTCCATGACACAACCATAGATAATGTCCGTCAGAGAAAAGTTTGTGAGATGGAAAACCTTTGGGTAAAGCCAGTCATGTATATCAAGCCATAACGCTTCAGAATACATACAATGGAAAAATAAATGATCAATAGTTTCATTGTCATCACAAAATTATTTTTTTATTTTAATTATTTTTCAATTATTGGTTTCTATTCCAAAACGCTGTCGTACCAAGTCACTGGATGGATACACACCATTTAGAATTTTAAAATGAATTTCTTTGGCTTTGGGAAATATAGGGAATTTTAAATATTTGGAACATAACGAGTGAATAGTACATTTTGAAAATAATTGGGAGATTGAGTTTCTAAAGGATATTGTAGGGAATGAGATGTTATCAAACAAATTCTTTATTGTTTTGTTAGGGATTTTTACCTCATTAAAGACAATGCCTCTAACTAAAAGTAGAGGGAGACATGGGGTGACAGGAGTGGAATTCATTAACATACCCTTAATTAAACACAAAAGAGAGTTGGGGATAGCGTTAGTTATGGAGTTGAAAAGAATGCGATTGTCAGTTAGGTCGTGTCTTACTGTACATTGTAAATAATGAGGTAATACTCATGCTTCCTGCCTCTTAGGCAGAGCTCCAGCTCTCCCTGCAGGCCAGTGAGAGTAATGCAGCAGCAGCCCAGGAGGCTCTGAGTGAGAAGGAAATGGAGCTGAGAGAGCTGAAATCCCAGAAGGCTGCAGAACAGGGTCTGATCTCCAAGGAGGACCACGAGGCCCTGCGGCTCTCTTTGCAGGCTGAGATCAACGCCACCACAGCCCGTTTCAACGATCTCACTCGCAAACATGAGAAGACCTGCACTGAGGTGTGTGTGTGTATGAATGCGTGTGTTACTGTGTCTGACTTCTCCCTTCCCTTCCAATGCCATCTAAAGATGGTATTGTGTCTGCAACAAAGTGAGCTGTGTTCCATGAACGCTTCTTTCCTGCCTGTACATTATTCATGTGTATTACTTTCCCTATTCAGTATGTCCCTCTATTTCATTGATCAATTTGTATATGTGCTTACTGATGCACTGAAGCATTGTTGTATATGCACTATAGGCTCCTGATGACACTTCAAAAGTTCTTAAACTCTATTACTATATTTATATATTATTTTTACATTAAATTTAAAAACTAGGCAACTGCTTCCGCGACTCAAGTTGGCACAGAGGTTAATAAGATGCCACATTTTCACACAGAAAATATCTTAAAAGGAACTTTAATGCACTTCATAAATTTAATCCTACTGAAAGCAGAAGGCATTTTATTGCAAGAACATGGAACCACCACATCCAACATTGAAATTTAGTGCTTGCACACAAACTAATAGGTATATTTGTGCTGGTTATGGAAGCGGGTTTGTTACAAAGTCACACTTTTCAAACAAAATCAAATGTTTGTGTAGTGTAATGTATGACTTACTGAAGTATACTGTATTTAATTTGCACTCTAGCATGGGTGTATGTATGATGATCAGAGGTAAACTGGAAATTCATGTGAGCAAACACTCAGAAAGCAATGGTTTTGGGAATAGACATTTTAGATTCTGAGAAAATGAAAACAGGAATTCTAGGAGAGGGTATGTTCATCCACATAATCAGGAATCAAGGCAAAGTACAGCATGAATGTTAAAGGCAATCAAATGGCAAAGGAGCTTTGCTGCAAGGTAACGCAGGTACACAAAACTTAAGTCCTTTTGCTTGAGGTTTTTTTTTCCAAGCTTGTATTTCTGTCTGCATGAACCTGTTGCTACAGCAACTGCTCTGCGATACTGACACTTTTATATAAGCAGAAAGCATCTGAATTGGAGATGTAACCAAATAGACAGCTTTGCTGTAGTGACAGGGTGCCATTGGTGGTTTTACTGGTCTAGGTGTTCCAGGTACAGAGGGAGGCTCTCTTTAATAAGAGTGAGCGACAGGTCGCAGAGTCCCAGCTGGCCACGGTGCAGAAACAGCTAGCTGATTTGCAGGCCCAATCCAGCCACATCCAGGAGCTCCACAAGAACATCCAGGAATCCCAGGGCCTGGTCAAGGAGAAGGACCGCAAGGTGAGAGATCGGAAGGCCAGTTCAAACAAATGCTATTGAAGCACCTATGGGGTGGCCAAACTGATGTCTCTTCTGTCTTCGTGCAGATAACAGACCTGTCCAAGGAGGTGTTTCGGCTAAAGGAGGCCCTGGGAGCTCTGTCACCTCCTCTGGGAATCAGCTCCTCCTCACCTACCCATCATGGAAACCCTGGACAGCAAGTGGCACTGCAGAACAGGATTGCCATACTCAACCAGCAGCTCCAGGTGAGGAGAACATTGACACCATGGTGATTTTTCACAATACTTATTTTAATATCGGTATATATCACCATCAGCAATGAAAAAAAATTACAAAACAAACTTAACATTTCAGTGACCTTTTTGCAGGATTGGGAGAGAAAGCACAAACAGGTGGTGGCTATATACCGTTCCCATTTACTGGCAGCTGTACAGGTCAGTTCAATGTGCAGATACACACCAGAGCACAATTTAAGACTTGAACCTTTTGTTATTAGATGTAAAATAGTAATTTTATTGAGGATTTCCATGTGTGTATGTGTGCACTTAACGACTGTCTTAGCTAGTTCCTGAGTTTTTGGGGGGCCCTTTCTCAGGATGGAGCAATGAAATTTTCTATGTGCCACTGGCTCAACAGCCACCTATAGACTGCACGGCTCTGACCGCTGCATATGAGTTTGTCCCCCTTTGGGTTGCAGACAAAGAGTGGGAATCCACCATCTCTGCTTACCAGACAAAGTGGTTGAAATTTCAGAAGCGGTGCAGGGACAAGGAGCTTAACTTACCTTCTTGTTCATCATATTCCACAGCTAAGGTGTACCCATTAGCTATTTCTTTGTAGTGTTTGTTGTAATGAGAGATTGTTCAGGTGTCATTGACCTTTAAGATAACTGTTTGCTCCTTTTGCAAGGTAGAGGTTTTCCTAGCATATTGTTCCAGACCAGACATGGGGCCCTCATCTGATCTGTTCTGAACGGTGCACCTCAAGCCTCTGAGTGGATAAATCTATTGAGCCTGTTTAAGGGGCTCTGCCTGTGCTCAAACAACCTTCATTTTCTTACATTGCTGTGTGTTGTGCAACAGGGTCGAATGGATGAAGAGGTGCAGGGTCTGCTACTCCAAATCCTGAGGATGTCACAGCAGGGACACTGATAATTACATTTGCGAGTCTCTCTCCACCTTCCAGTCCCTTTGCAGTTCAACATAAAGCAACTTCAGCACTGCAACACGTGGGACCTGCATCATTGGGACCTTGTCTAAAGAGCCAAATACAACGGACTGGCGTTCAGACATAGCTGCATGTGTACAATACAGTAACCTAGACAACAGCCTTAAGGCTTTACTGATAACCAAATTGATAGAACTGTAGAGTGCCTTCATGGCTGGATAACTAAAATGACAGCAGCCTACAAGTCAGTGGTTTAATGTAGCAGAAATTGAATGCGAATAGTCATTAGAAGATACAATCAGGTGCATTGATTGTGTGACAAGCCTGTTGATTTTATAAAATATTGTGATAATAAAAAGGAAAAATAAATTGCTCTGCTGTAATTATTGTAACTTGCTTCATTGATTGAACAAACTAGGTCCCCAGAGCCACAGCTTCTACATTGCCCCTCATCTATTTTGGGGGGGGAAGAAAATTTGAAGTCTTTGGCTGCAGCATGTGTGCATGGAAAGTTGGACAGCCGGGCCTAAACTGAGGAGCTGCTATATTAGCTGGCAGACTCACAAATGACAAATATACCACTTGAACTGTACCTTCTTTTCAATGAGTTTTATTGACAAAAAGCCATTAAAGTTCAAAGGGGGAAGATCCAAGAATTTCCTGAGAAAGCAAAAAGGACATCAGAAATAATTACAAATCATTTGGACCTCAAACGCTGTTTAGCTCACCTCTTCTGTGCATTAATGAGGCTGCAGCTAGGAACAGTGGAGGGCCTGATTAAAGATATGTTGTTAATTACACAGAACTGCAAAAAGCATGACCTACCTTGAGTAAGATTTCAAAGAATGACATCGGCAAAGATTGGTTTAGGAAACTTATTGACAGTGCAGGCAAGGAGCAGAAATACACGAGCAAGTCATTGACATGTAAAGACGCAGAACTGGGATGAGGACAATCAAAGTGATGCATTTCCCTGAGGCGGGACAAATAAAGGATTTAATTTCAAGTCCAAATCCCCTGTCTTTCATATTAATCACTGTAGACTAGTTCTATGTATGGCTTGCATCTAAGAAAGCTTCACTGAGGGGATTGTTGTGAGGAACGCACATAAAGACAATGACAGTCATGACTTAATAAGGCAGTATTAAACAAAACCAGAGCAGCTTACATGACTGTTCACAAGTATAAGAGCTTAATTCATCTTGATGTTGGTTCAGTCGTTCATTGGCATGGCAAGAAAACTAGTGTTTTAAGTTAGGAGCATAAATGCACATTATAATACACTGACACAAATGCCTGTCTCTGTAGTTATTAAGGCACTGAAGTTGGAGGGGCTGTGGAAGTGGAGGCATGGATATACTGAGTTTGTATGCAGAGTAGTTGTTTAACCCAGGACGTGGTTTTGATTTGAGTACAGTCTGACCAATGATATTCAGGCTTATATAACACAGACAGTACATCTTTAACAAATTTCGAACAGCCCTTACGAACACACCACAAAATAACATGATATTTATGGTAAATGTGATAAAACTTCCTACTTTCAAGACTATGTCCACTTGGCTGTCTACATAAAGATAGTATGAATGTACGTGTTTCCATTGTGCCATCTTTAAAGTCAAGTACTGCAGACCTACGAACATGTAACAAAACGTACAGTCCAATGAAAGACATTTCTTCACCACAGTATTTTCATTTCTTGCATTTATACAGAAGTGAACTACTGATTAACCTGACATCTTTTGTTGTTGTTTTTTTTACACAGTAACTGTACCAGATATTAAGTGACCGTTTTGTTCTGGCTTTGTCCGTTATTTGTTCAGTGGACGACTTGTGACTGAGGGGTTGGGCAAGCCATGGTATACTGGAAGCACTTCACTATTACAGGCATTGTAGGACAGTTCTGTGCATCAAATCATTTTGTTTTCCTGAAGTTTCCTTCAAATAGTCGTCGCATTCATTTAATTTTATATTGGCTGACATTTTTCTGGCTCTGAAAGTGGATTCTAGTTGGTTTGTTAGCTTAAGAGCTGCATGCTGAGGAGTTTGTGACAGATGAGGGATAGTTCGGTTAATCCTTGTAGGCAAAAGGCAGAGAAAGTACAAGGAGATGTCAGATGCCTCCCTTTCCTTAGAATTGTTCATGGAAAGAAAGTACCTGTGAGTCCTTTTGTTCCAGATAAATTTCCTTATTCATTTTTTGAACGTGGTTCTTGCTTGAGAACACAGTAATCCAGCTGTGAAACAGACAAAGGATGACAATTTTAGGAAAAGATTGAAGGTCATACAGTCGGGTTTTAGGCTTGTAGATACAATAGTCACATGTTTCACTATGTTATATTTATTGTAGTTAGTGTGAAAATTGTAATGCTCAACTAGCTATATTTTAAATTATAATAATGCATGCATTTTTATCTTATTCTTCTTAACATGTAGTATTTTTAAAATGAAAAATAACCATCCACAGCCTCCCTGATATCTGCATCATTAGATAATTTTATGCATCCCATTCGAGTGTAGTATACTGCAAACTCACCGTCCCATGCAGGACCAGGTGGACTCACTGTTTCCTCCTGACCACCTGTTTGAGGTGGACCTCACTCTCTGCTGCTATAATCGGCAGCTCGTTCTTCAGGTGGTACGAGATAAGGTGGCTTATGCTCTCAAATAACATGTCTTTGGTTCGGACCTATATGGAGGACAGCAAAAGACGAGGGGATGTAAGTCACTGTGTTCACTACATGCAGCACAAACCTTCTGTGAACCCAGTTTGTTGTATTAAACAATGGCATTGTTTATAAGTGACATCCAATAAATAATTCTGTGTGTTTGAGTCAGACAATCAGCAGATTAAAAAAAACAAACAAAAAAAACACTTTGCAATGAGAAACAGTGCAGCTATAACAGAATATTTTAATGACAATTTTTCCTCCTGTGGTTTTATACACTAGTATAAACTTTGACAACTGTCTGTATTTTTAGTAAGCTGTTTTCGCCAGACTGCCAGACTCACCACTCCCTCTGGGTCCACTAGCAGTAGGTGTTTGGGCAGGCCACAGTGCATTCCAGTTAGCACGTACTGTCCTGGGTTGGTAGTGCTCTCCCGGACCAGAAAATCTCCATCTCTGACCAGGAGTCTCTCTGCGTCCCGTCTGCTCATGCGGCTGTGGTACCACGTCTCCCTGCGGAGCTGCTCCTCATTTGGGGCCACAGGGGCTCGACGGCGTGGAGGGCTGGGCCACTGGTCCTCCAGGACCCGGACACCCCCAGCTGCAGCCGACATACTGGACCCTCCCCCACAGGCCTCGTGGAGCTTCAGGGCGTCCTCAAAGGGCCCTACAGGGACATTGATGTTTCACAAATAGGTTATTTGACTGTATTTTTCAAATAAAAAAGAGGTGAGTTTATCTTCACTGTATGTGACACGAGCTGTCAGGACTTACTCATGTCAAAGAGGTCCTTTTTGGGACTGTCTGGTACCCTGGCTCCTCTGTGTGCTTCAAGACCCTGTGCCAGTGAATCCAGGTTTTCCAGACTCTGGGTGTTAACGTACTGATGCTCCTCATAATCTCTGCAGCCTGGTGGCTGGCCATCAGCACACAGGTAACCATCTGATGTCAGACCTGAGAAAGACAGGTGCTCAATACATTTCTGACTTCTAGCTGGACTTTTACATATTGTGCGTGTCCATCAACAAACATTTTAATGCCATTTTTTAACCCCCTTAGTGGTTGAAATCACATCTTGAAATACTGAGTTTTTTTTAGATATCACCTGTATAACTAAAAGAGTAAAATTTAAACCAGTTGCAGTGAATGTGTATGATCACTAATGTCATTAGTTGTATATAGCCACTAATGAGAAGGCAGCTTCTTCACAATACCAATATAAAATGTTAACTGATTGGTGTTTATTGCAGCTTTCTACCATTCAACAACAGATTTGACCCACTAAAATTGTCTGATCATTACATCAATATATTTTATACTACGGTATTATAATTCATTCTCTTGTTATTGGACCTGTGACAATTACTTTTACATTTAATTTTAAGTACTTTGAACTGTGCTAGCCTGAATGAATGATATATATGAACAAAGTTTGATTGAAACGTTTGGTAAGATAAGGTACAATAAAGTGACTTTTACATTGTCTTAACAGTAAAATGTCAATACCTATAACTTCTGTAAAAAAGCATACATGCCATTCATTGTTTTAGTTTTCTATACACCAGGCAGAAAGGTGAAAATGTAGATTAGTAACATTTTTAAATGATAAAAAGGCTGCTGAATAACTTTACTATTGTTTTTTTAAACGCTTTTAAATTATCCCCATTAGTGGATGCCATAGCAATCAGCTAATCTTCCTGGATTCAGAGAATCATGAGGCTTCCCTCTTATCAAAAGATTACAGACAACTTGAAGCACGAGTCTTGAACCAAGTCTTTTATCTGAAAGGCCATCCTGATTAAAAACATCCCAAGAATCCTAATTCTATAAGGGTGATCTTTAGAAGGGCCCCAAACACTGAGCTTCTGTCTGTGCGAGAAGTGAATTTCATTCAGGGCACAAAAGTGCAGTGATGACCAGACTCCGACACACCCTTCAAGTCAATCCAAGACCCTTCAGTTTATTCTCTATTAAAAGTGTATTGTTTTACAAAATGACAAAGCTCAGTATCAACTAAAGTGAGAAAAATTAATGATAAACTTGTGAGCAAGTTTTCTCCCCAACAGATTAAATACTTGTGTTGCCACAGGGTCTCTCACCTGAGCTGCTGGTGGTTTCAGTGTCCCAGTGAAGTTCATAGCACAGCTGACCAGGGGGATAAGATGCCTGTTCCCTCCTGGCTGGTGAGCCCATCTACAAACACACACAGACACACCCACCCCCACCCCCCCAGAAGAACACAGCCTAAATACATTTGTATTGCCATACCTGAATGGACAGCTCTCATCTGTTGTCCCCACATAATGTAGTTTTGAAGCACTATCTGAAACATTAGCTACAGCATGTCACCAGATTTTGAACAAGCTGCAGGGAGACGCCGATGATTTCTCTCACCCGGGTATGGCAACACAGGAGCCATGGCTCTTTATGTAATCATATCTCTGGCAATTATGTTGCAGGCACATCAGGAAGACAATTATGGAGTTTATTTTCTTGCTCCTGTTAATTTCCATGTAAACAATACAGGTAAGGAGCAGGAAAACATCAGTCACCGGTTTATGCGGGAGATATTAAAGAGTTTAGCTTGAGTCTGGCAGTCGTTGTCTGGTAAAGTTTAGCCATGCACTACTTGATAATGACCAGATGTAGCTTCAATTACATTAGATGGTAAGGTTGCATCTTAGCACAAAGCCGGTGTTGATTAGTGTGAAGAAGCCAACTGTACTGTATAGCAAGTCTACCGTACAAGAGTCCAGAACCTGACTTAATGTTGTCTCCAAAATCATGCCTGGATATTCACCTGTGCTGCTGTCTTGGTCTGTGGCTGGGTGTGGATGTGACCCAGCAGGGCTCCACTAGACCTGAGCCTGGAGTCCACCACTCCCCCAACAGGAGGCTCCTTCCCAGGGATGCTGTTGTAGTAGTCATGCTCAGAAACGTCCTCATCCTCCCCCCACATTGGCTCTTCTGTCCTGGCAGACCTGAAAAAGGACATATGTGCATAAGTCAAACGACACGTTTAATTGTAGAGCTACATAACTAAATTGGTAATACTACACAATCAATACCACAACTTCTATAATCTAAACAATAAATTTTATTTTTATAGTTATATTCATAGTAGAATGAGATCAGAGTTTTCAAATGTATTCAGTCTGATCATATGACATGTCCATATCCGTGATCCATCTATACAAATCTGCGAGAGATTTATATAGATCAGACCAGAGCTGCTGCTTATGGCAGCAGGAAGGCGTTTGAAACCAGAATACAAAAGTCTGACAGTCTGGAGTTGCTCCTGTGTCTGCAGTGATATCACTGCAACACCTGAGGTTTGGTCACAAGGGTCGGAAGATCTGTGAGGATCAATATTATAAGATGGATTTTGAGGTAATACAAGAACAAACTATCATGTCTCCTTGTAATAAATAACAAAATGGAGAGTTGTGCAGTAGATCAGGGTTTTTGTGGTGGAAAATGCAACTAAGCTCTCTCTTTTTTTTTTTTTTTAATACGCAGGAGGTCTTGCCAAAGTACGGATGAGTGACATAAACTTCGTAAACCACCACCAACTTCACTTCCACTAGGTGTCAGTATTCCTTTAACAACATTTAATTTTTCCATTGACATCTTCTGCCAGTATCAAGGTTAAAGCTTTAATGTTACAAAGGCTGTATTGTTGGTTATTTCTTAGTGCCTTGGTCCTAAAAGGATTTCATCTTTTCATAGGAGCCATAATTTTGGCATGTTACCTCTCCATAGATGTCGTGGTTTTGGGAGGACTATGTAGGTACTGTTTGAACTGCAGCTCGAAGGCTTGGCCGATGGTACTGATGACACTCTGGGCTAAACCGTCTGAACACTCCAGGATATGACATGCTGAAGGAGACAAAACACCACAAGACGTTTTTCTAGCTGCCACATACTTATAGAGTAAGATTGTGGCTCACTATTAAAAGCACTATTTTAATACTGGATGGTCATTTTGAGTTTCTTTTTTTTTTAAATGGGGATGATCGATTGCTTAAAAATATTAGTGATTTCTGTTCTAAACCAAGGCATGTTGCAGATGTCAATCTTTCATATCAGGAATAACTTCATAGGAGAATCATCATTATCATACATTTCTTTCCAAATAATGGAAACACTATAATGTAACTGTTGATCTCTTTTGTATTACAAAAATAAATTGTGGCATTGTGTAACACATGTTGAAGTGAGCTTCTCTGAGTGGTCCATGTTTAAGATCCAGCATTGTATATACATAGTTATGAAACAGGCAGTGAAGGAGAAGCTTTTCAAGACATACCTCTCTGATTAACTGGGTCTTTGGCCACATACGCTACATAATCAGGCGTGTCCTGCAACAGATGGGAGGAAAAATTAAATTAGACATATATAACTAAATTAAAGCCCTCCCTGATTCTTCAGTCACGAGATGGGAAACCAGTAAAAGTAGAATCCAGTCAGATGTCTGCCAAAATGTCCATTCCAACAACAACGTAAAGGAGAACAGGGAGTAACACGCTGCACTCACTGTGTCTCCCCCAGAGGCAAATGAAATAGATTGCATGGGATGGTGCGCTATCACCTGAAATAGACAAGTGAATAAAACAGAGGCGGAGGTTAGCCAATATTCTACTTTAACATTTCATTAATTAATGTGGATACAGACACCACAAATGGACAATGAGGCCAGAGATGGAAAAGAGCAGGGTTTAAAAGATACAGGTTTTGAAGCAATACCAATACACTTCTACTAAAGTGGAATGTTCATCACAACCTTCTTTGTATCAGCAATAGACAACATTTAATTTAAAGTTCTTTGGGCAACTGTCAGACTATTCCTTGTAGAGATGAACTTATGGTATTGTAGCATCACACCTGTCGTGTGGTAGGGATAAGCAGACCAAGGCCATCTATGGAAATATTGACTGCAATACTCATCCCTGCAAATCGCAGGTTGCTCTTCCCCATAATGGACTGAAGAGCTTTGTTCACGGCCTACATGAGAAAGAATAAAAAAGGAGAATACAGCGGATATTACAATCACATACATACAGCATATGACTATGCTATATTTACTGTATTTGTTATGGGAGACAAAATATTTGCATCACTTATATAATTATCTGGACACTTGAGCACCACACAAGGGTGTGATGTGTACCAAGGTGACTTATAAACAAACACTGTTGTGAATTTAACTTATTTTTCCATCAGGGATAAAACAATTTAGTATATAATTAGAATGTATAATGAAACATGCAAAGTAAGATTAAAGTTTACAATTAACCTTCCTCCTCCAAGCTCCCTTTCCCCCTGGCACAGCTTCACACAGCCTGTTGATGGCTTCCCTAATTAGTGGAATAGAAGGTCAAACATTAGTGGGACACACTGGCCACTGATCAAATGGCTAACCCCTCCCCCACAATGTGAGAAGCATAACTGAGATTAAAAGTTGTGAAGCCGGAGTTCAAAAACTGTTGCATCACAGTTATGGAAATACCAGAGGTTAAACATGAACACAAGCTTTGTGTTCCCTCCCTCGGACTAAGGTCATGTTCAAAGGTCGAGAAAAGCTTTCCAGCAGGTCTGTTTACAAGTACTAAAGTAAGTCCTTCCTTGCAAAGAAAACAATTTATCAACCTCCTGTTTAACTCCCTGTCAAATAAGGGAAGAAGAAACACTTTAGTTTAAGCCAAAATAAAGTGTCTGGGGTCTGTGTAGTTCCACACTTTGATGGCTCTTAAAGGCATGATTATTCACATTTATTTTTCCACAGTGCAATGCTCTCTGCAGATTTGTTACCACTTTGCAGTGAAGCTGCTATAACTCCTGGGAATGGCTGCCTAATGGGCGTTTAAAGCTTCTGTCCCCTGTGTGTCTGATGGCGGGTGTGAGGCATAATGTGGATTTGAGGCTGGAGCTTGCCTTCTCACTGCCAGGGGACAGCAGTCAAGAACCCAGCTGCCCCTATCAGGTGGCTCATAAATATTTAAAAAGCAGAGTCCCGGGCCCCATCTCGAGTAAAGGTCTTCTCAGGGATTTTTGAAAAACACTGCAATGTTTGAATGACTCATGAGATCCGAGGGAGGAGGAGGGAGATGGGCTGTTTTGTCTGCAGCCTCAGTATCTTCCCTGCAATAAAATGCCAGGCCTCATTATCACTGGTGTTGCTGTTTAACACATAACACAAGAGTACTGTTAGAGAATGCGCCATCTTCAAATTTAGGAGCTGAAGTACATTTGAAATTCTTACAAACACTGAAGGTTATGTTGGTGTTTTCCAGGACTGAATTGACTTCTGTAAAATTCATCAAGGCAAAAAGAATATCAGCTCTGGGTGCATGATAAAGGCTCTGCTGCTTTTGAGTGGCATCCAGCAACAATTTGTTAAATTAATGAAGACAAAGTCATTGATTGTTGGCCTTGTGGGACAGATGGTCCATGATCCCCAAGTAATGACTAGGCCTCATGTCATTACCGCTGAGAAATTCAGTTTTAAAGCATTGGTAAACTGCCTTACACATGCTACTAAATGGAAAAGGCTGCAGTGAGTTTAACAAAAGGACAAGGATGCTGAAAATCTGCTATATAGTCAACAACCTCAGGGATGTAAAAAGAAATCAGTGCACTAAAACAATCCTGACTAAACTGATGCCATGCAATCAGTCACTACAATAAAACCTGGTGCTTATGCTCAGTATGATTTTGCCTTTTGCTAATGTTTTGCTGTTTTGTTTTGAGGTCTGCTCTCTGACCCCCCACTCCCCCAAGAAGTTACAACCGCAGACATTATCCAGCAGGGTGCGTTGACGAGGACCACTGCAGCTTTCCAAAGTCATTAGCAAACATCATCAATAATAGATCTCCCTCGCTATCACTCCATCGCAGCTGCCTCCTCCCCCTGCACTTAAGCCTTGGAAGCACGGTGGGCTCAGATTACTGATGATTGATTATGGAGGAGAGAGGAGGGTGAGTGATAGAGGGAGGGAGTGCTTTTATAACAGAAACATGAACACAGACCCTGAGGCACAGTTTTACACATACACATCACCTGTCATGCCACTGAGCATATTGTGTATTGATATGTATTAGTTTTGTTTGTCTCTTAACTGGGACACACACTGTATCTGCCATGACATTCTCTACATTCCCATAAAGTCAGTTGTTTTAAACCAAATGCTACAGGTGTGACTCATTTATCAAGTCACTTACATAAAATTAAGAAAATAAAAATCTGAAGTAACAGCTGAGAACTGACTGCTGGTAGAAACGTAATATTATAGTGGGTGATATTTCAGTTAATCCTATACATCTTGGATCATATTCTCCTGACTCATCGATACCAACAGAGATGGTTACTAGCTTACCTTGTCACCTGAGTCCGCGTGTTGAAGTCCAGCGAGCGCATTGACTTCAGTACTTCAATGCAGCCCATGTACTGCAAAAACAAACAAACCAAATAGAAGCTTTTAAATATGGCAGTGGAAAGATTTTGGTCAGGAATAGATGCCCCAGATAATCATGAACCCGACATGTGAAGTGTTGTAAAATGTTTGTGTTTTAGTCAATGTTTTATTTAAAATTTAGAGATTAGGTGTCACAAAAATGTTCAATTGAAAAATAACTGCTGAACTTAACTCACTATGGAAAATGATTTAAGCTTTCTAAAAGGACATTAACATGAATTATAAATAAGCATAATTTGTTTAAAACTATAAACATGTCTAGCATTATTTGCATTTTGAGTAAAACTCATTTCCGCAGTATACAATATGTAATCCTCTATTGTAAGCTTGAGTAATTGCAACAAGGCATAATTTAACTCAAATCCACATATAGGCCATTAAAGTGTACACCATCGGGTAGCAGCCAGCTGAGCAGCTTCCTAATAGCTGTCAGGCTGGGGTGCTAATGGCACCTTGACTAGATTAGTAGCACTAAGAGCTCCAAATCATGGACAAACTGCAGCTTTTTTAGGCCTCTGGGGGATGCATGTGAGAATGTCCTGGACTTATTTGCATGACTGTGAGGCTCACGTGAGAAGACGGAGAGGTGAGTAAAATCTACAACTTCACCTTTCTGCTTGTAAAAAAAAGGTTTAATAATTAATAATTAAATATCTATACAGTGCAATTCAACATCCCATATAAAGAACATCTATCCAGGAATTACTGATGAAAACTAACCTGATTATAGCATATTACATTCATAGCATTGATAAAAATATAAACAAGAATCACTGTTACAAATTCATGACCGTGACCATTGATTGTGGAAGGCAGCATTACTGACTGATCCTTCTGTGTTTCACCTGCTTGAAAAGATTACAAGAACACAGCTCAAACAAAAGTGATGTAAACCTCTTCAGCAGCTTGAGTGATTTATAAACTCTTTGTAAAACCATTTGCATCCTCTCCTACAGTGCTTTGGCTCAGTCAATGTCATGTTCAGTGCAGTTTCCAGGATTGTTAGTGACTGCAACAGACATACCAGAAGCCATACAAACAAACCGAGAGAGAAAGAAAGCAACCTTTGAGCCTGAGAGCGTAATGAGCTTTCTAACCCGATCTGGAGACAGGAGGAAGTCTTCCATCAGGAAAATTGTCTTTCCCTCTCTCTGCCAATGCTACCATTGTCACACAATCATCTGCTGATACAACGCATACCCTCTATCTGCACTCGTACGCTTTTGGCAGAGACTCCATCACACAATTCCTAGGGCTACAGGGGACACTGACTTTCCAACAAGCATTCCTCAGAAATTTAATAACACTGGCCACCACGTTCAAACTTTGTTGCATTACGGCTGCCTTCTTTTGAGATAAATAGCAGCCGTTTTGTAGTTTATAAGTGTAGAAAATGTCATAAGCCCAGTTCATTATCTATATGTTCTCATTTTACCACTAAGGCGAGGCAAGATCGAGAAGCGTGTATGTTGTGTAATGATGGATGGGCAGATGGACAGATAGTGAGGACAGCTGGATGTTACCCAACAGAACATTGAAAGATTAGGTTTGTTTTTGTTTTAAGTAAATGGTCTGGTCCTGGTATAGCGCCTTTCTAACCAACTGCTCATCAGGAAGGAACCAATCATTCACATGCACACTCACAGCATAGCCATCGGGAGCAATGTGGATTTCAGTATCCTGCCTAAAGACACTTCAACATGCGGGCTGGGGGAGCCAGGGATCAAACTCTAAAGGATAGCTTTGGCAGCTCCAGTGCTTTGTTTGACGGTTGCTGCAATGTCCTGACTATCAAAGATGGCAGATGCAGGCCAGACACAGAGCCTGACAAAGAAAATGTAAAGGAGGAAAGCAATACTAAGAATCGTATTTGTGTCTTTCCGAGCAGAGGAGTGACCGTGTGTGAGAGACAGAATGGGGCACTGAAACAGAAATAGAGGGAGAGAGCTGTGTGCTATGGTAGCTATGCTGATTAAAAGGGCACCGCACAGCAGAAATCTACTGTCACTTTGACACTAATACATGCAGCAAGTACTCCTCCCTGCATAGATTTACCACCGAACTGGACGTGTAGTGTTGCTTTAGCTGCTGTGAAATGCATTTCAAATGTTAGCTTTCATGGGTCATCTAAAATGATTGCAGTACGCCTTCTGGTGACAACACTAAGCTGTTAAAAGCTTGGTTTGATAATTAACTGAGATATCAAATATTAGAACAGCACTTGTTTGAAGGATCCAGGAAAGCCCTGCTGGTGATGAGATCTCATACTTACCACTAGACCCCTCCCATACTGATCCAGCTACCCTCTTCCACATCACATGACGCAAATGACTGATTAAATGTAATTGAATATAGGAATGAATGGTGCCTGTATTCCATTAGAAAGCATGCTTGGGCCTTGGACTGGGCTAATCAAGAGCCATGTCATTAGTTTGTGGGGGGGTGGCGCAAGAGGGGCGGAGGTGAAAAGGCATGGGGGATCGTTAAGGGGAGATCAGTGACATTGACGTCAAGCAGTCTGCTTGGGATGGTAACTCTTTGTAAACACAAATCACAAGTACACACTGATGAAAACTGCTTTTTTTTATAAAAACTTATCATTCTCATCTCTCGGTTGGGACAACCAACCAACCATCCACTCGGTTATGTAGCATGATCTTATTTTTGATAACAAGCGTTTTGCGTAAGTGTCATTCAAGCATAATACAACACTAACTATAAATACAGTGGGATTCACTATGCTGCAGGATTGTAAATCACATTTCATGGATAAAATCTTTTGGTCTCATTGCACATGTGGATGTAAACAATCTCGAAACCACACAAAGAACACCACTCCCACAAGCTTACAGTGGGAGCTCACAATCACTATAAATGCAGATTGTTATTGTTTTTAGTATGTGATGCATACAGTTTACAGTGTTGCAAAAAAAAAAGAAATCCTGACTACAGTCTACACACAATTTCATGGTTTATCATTCTCCACCCGGATGCCTGTGTGCTATCCTGACGCAGTCTCCCTACCAGCCACACCAAGCCATCTATCTGGATTAAATTATGTATTCCCCAGCACTCGCCACATGAGCTGCATAACAAACTGCCTGGCACTGTGTTGTTCTTTTGTTTATCATCCACATAGAGAGAGTGCCATTAATATTATGTGGTAGTTAATATTCAAGTACCAGAAAAAAATGTTTGCTAGCCGCTTTCAAAACAAATCCTGAATTAAGTGAATGTTCCTTTACAATGGACATACCCTATGCATTAAAGAAAAAGAAATAAGGTGACCATTGACTCACTCTGATAATATAAGAGGCCCCTGGTCCTGCAATCTTCTTGTCAGGGTGCAGCCAGCCTTGAGAGGGTTTGTGGATGAAGCTTCCCTTCTGGGTGAAGTCCTCTCCCAGCCACATGCCTTCCACCCTTGTCCGGCGGCTCATTCCTGACCTGGAGCTGCTGGAACTCCCAGAGCCCGCCATGGCCTCTGTGGCCCCAAACACGTGCCCTCCTGAACTGGCAGAGTTTGCCGCTGCAACTGCTCTCTGCCCTCGAATGGCCTGCAAGGAACAGGGGGTGACACACACAGGGTCACAGGAGTTAAGTACCGCTGCAAGACTGGCCACTGGGCCACTGGCTGAGGTGGCAACACTGGGCCTGTGTGTTGAAGAATGGGAGACCGAGGCCTGAGAAGGACCTGCAGCCGCCTTGCCCGAGTCCTTGCTAGAGCTGGATGGGCTCCGGCTGAGCAGAGAGTTGGAGAACTTCCATTGGGGCATCCTAGGGATGAGCATGCAAAAGGTAGTGGTGGCATCCTGTTCCCCATCCAGGCATGGCGAGTCGGCCTGGGCTGTAGCCCCAGCCGAGGACGACGATCTGGCACTGGGATCCAGTCGAGGCAGAGGAAGGCTCGGGGTGGAGGAGGGGACCACCGGTGTGGCTACAACTTTGCCGCTCATGGCTAAGCTCTGCATCAGGTCGTCGGAGGAGGTCACAGACTCATTGCGAAAGCGGCCATACTTTGGCTTAAGGAGCATGCCCGGAGGAGCCGCCTGAAGCAGGAGCAGGGATAACTGCCAGAGGATGAGGGGGGGAAAGGGGGGAGGGGGAAGGGGAAAGGAGGGGGGGGAGGTGTAACGGAAGATGGGGAGAAGACTAGAGAGAAAATCTTCCAGGTGGAGTCCTATATCCTTGTCAACTGAAGGCTGTCTGATCCTCTCCCGTTCACACACTGTCCCACTCTCATGCCACTCTCCTCTGTCTGATCTGGCTTGCTTCCTTTCACTGCCTTAGGCAAGCTCGCTCGTATGCTCCTAGTCTCTCTCTTTGGATGATGTCATTGGGTCTATTAGCCCTGCCCAGCTGCTCTCAGACTGTATTAGCTAAAAACACATCTGCCTGAACCACCCTGCCCTCAGACTGCCTATTTTTTGTCTATATAAAAATGAGGTCCTGCAAATTAAAAAAACTTGTATTAGTGTACATTATCTTTAGGCTAGCAGTAATTTGTCAAACAATAATGTTGTCAATGTATAAACTGAGAAAATAAAATTTTTTTTGTAAATCTCACTTGATAAATATTGAATTTGGCATAATTTCCAATCCACCCCCCCGGAGGTGAGGAAGCTAAACTTAAAGTGAATAGTTGATTTCATGCTGTTGGTGCGTGTATGTGAGTGAGTAATTCCATTTGTCGTGGCAATAGACAAAAACTTAACAAAGGCAACAATGCAGCCACACTCAGAGGGACTACATGTCTGAAAACATCCGCCTTGTCCCATCTGTCAGAATTCTCTCCCAACTTCCCTCCCAGCCACCTCCCCAGAGAGCAATCAGCCATCTCAGGACAATCCTTTTAGTTCCTTGCTTGCACCCTCCATCATTCCTTTTTCTGACACACAAATGGTATCTAATCATACAATCAACCAAGTACGCCTCAGCAGTCAGGATTCTCAGTGTGAAACACAAAGCTGGTCTCCATACACAGATGTGAGCAATATCTGCCTTGATTGTGAAATAACCCAATAGTCAGGATAATCTGTTGCAAAAAGAAGGGTAATCTGCTGACTAAAAAAATGCTGCCTATATATCACAGTTTTAGATGAAGTGCAAACAGGAGAGAGCCTAAACACAAGACACTGAAGAGTTGACTGAAGGAGCACAGGTTTTAATCCATAAAAAACAAAAACTCAGGCTTACATGCAGTTCAGGTGTAAAATGTCCAAACAGCAGATCAGGTAACACAGAGACAGGCAGAAAACTACAAACATGACAATGACCAGACAGAGACTGAATAGAAACAGCAAACATTTAATACAAGGGACTAATGAGCAGGCGGGAGCAACACAGGTGAGAGGGATCAGGACTAACGAGACAGGCATGCATGAGAGATAGCAGGGGAAAACAGAGAGACAGGCAGGCAGAGGGATTCTGGAGTAACAGACAGAACACAGGTTACAGACCATATCAAAATAAGACAGAACAGATCAGAATAATATAAATAACAAACTAATCCAGACACAAGCAGAGAGATCACAACAAGATCATGCAAATGAATACAGGAATAAACAAGGCTAAACAGAGAAAACACAAGATGAGGAACAAAAACCCCAAAACAGAAAACTGTTATGGCAGAAAATTGTGTCCTCTTACATTTAATCTTTCATGTATGATCTTTTAATATTATTATTATTATTATTATTATTATTATTATTATTGTTATGTCTTATAGATATATATGTATTGTGGGTTTATCCTTAACCTTTCCTCTCCTATACTCCTTACGTTAGTCCACATTTACTAGGGTTTAGGTCAGAGCTGTGAGATTGTTTTGGTGTTTTCCCCCTCTTGTTGTTCCTCTCCTCACCTGGAATGTTCATTCAAGGCTGAGAGAAGATGTCTGTTCCCCAAAACATAGAAACCTAGACTGTGTAAATGATTATGCATCCCTTTGCTCGGGGCCAGACACCCAAAGCTGCCCTAGGTAGCAGGTCTCTGGACCAGCTGTATATGTGTTTTAGTACTTCTCTGTTTATTTTCTAACGGTTTTGTTGTAACTCAATTATTTGCTCAACCCCTCACCAGGAGTATAATTTCCATGACAAAAACATGGACCAACTGCTAAACAGAACAGGGTACGGAACAGGACCAACCAGGAAACAGGACAATACTAAACATGGAACAAATCAGAAATAAGGAAAATACCAAAACACTACTAAACACAAGCAGACAGATCTTGACCAGATAAACTATAACATCAGGTAGAGGAAGCCCACTAAGACAGCAAGCAAACTATAAACTAAGTCTAAACTAAACAGAACAGCAACAGGGAGTCTAAACGCAAGAGACCCAACTAGTAACACAGAGTGGATAAAGACAAGATAACAGAACACCGACAAACTCCACAACAACTGACTAGGATAACTGAACAGATTAACACAGAATGATCATAACAAAACAGACAACAAATCAGTCAGAGCTCACAATTAACACTAGCAGACTGGACACAGGACAACAGACAGACAGGCCAGAAACCCAAAACCCAACAGACTACATAACAGATACTGAACTGACCAAATAACTCACAGAGAACTAAACGAGACAAAGAAGACAGGCAGAATGTGACACTACATAGAAAAGGAAAGGCTCATTATGTTCATGTCAATTGTTTAAATTCAATCACGCAAATCATTTGTAATTGCAATGCAATTTGTTTAGTCCCATAATCAGTTTGGATTGTCATGTAAGAACATGTTGTCTACAAACTCTGACTGAAGAACAATACAGTAAACAATGCATAGTAAACAAACTACACCAACCAAAATATGTTCTAATTGTGCACTAGTAAGCTTACCAATTTGTCAGGCTCTGAGGAAAAAGAGGATGAAAATAAGATCCAGCCCTGGTGAATTTCCAAAGACCTTTATCAGAGAAAAGCAATGTTTTTGCTCAGCTATCGTACAAAGGAGCTATAGCTATGGTTGAATAATAGAACAAGAACTAGTCAGGAGAACAGATTACAACTAACCATACACACACTGAAAAACCCATAAACACAAACAAACCACCATCAGAAATGCTATGACACCACAACCACTGCCATCCCATCCTCTTCCAAACAGCCAGTCACATCTTGTTTGTTATACAGAGTGTAAAAAGTTACTGATAAACCAGATGAAATCAGTGTATGTTGACAGATGCACCGGTAGCTAGCCTTCCTCAGTATGCTCTGTCCCCATTTCTGACAAAAAAACAAACTGTTCTTGCAACATACGCTATAAGCAAACTACATAGATAAGGAGGCATAATGACTTCAGACAGAATTGAACCAAATAGATGCAATAACAATCATTTGAACATGGTACTAGGTGTAATTTCCATAAATTTATTTAAAATTACTTAATTACATCTGATGTTACACAGGTTCAATCATTGTACTGTGATTTTTTTGTATGTGAAGAGTTAATATTTACCAAGGGACTTTGGTAGTTTGCATATACAAGTGGAAAAAATCATGCTGTACACCACCACTTATTAGCAGACATTCCCTTGACAACAGTGATTACAAATAAGAACAACAACAGTTACTCAACAGAATCTTCAAATTGAATTGTTTGGTTAAAATGTAAAGAGAGTTTATTTGTAATACTGTTACAAATCATTGACTGAGAAAAGTAATGTGTTTGTGTGAGGCCTAGAGAGAAATTATAATAGGTGACATTTATCTGTGTATAGCATCTCAGGATCACAACACTGAAATACCATGAATGAAATCTGTTGAAAAATGTAAAATAGAAATAGGAGAGGGATATATATATATATATATATATATATATATATATATATATATATAGCAAGAGATTAATTTCTAGTTCAGAATAGTAAGTGGTGAGACAAATGGACATCCAGTTCCTGGGTTGGATCCTAATTGAAATCCTAAAGATAAAAATATCACTATAGGCAATCTGACAAATCACGTTTTTAATCGTTTTCTTTGTCTCAAATCATCCAACATAAATAATAAAAATTACTTGCTCCAAGAAGCAATTATGATTAGTATAAAATAGTGACATTCTTTGCTGTAATAATAATTTGGTCTCTCAAGAGCCAATGTGGTCATGCAAATAGCCATTTATCATCCACCTTCAATACAATCCAAATAAAAGTTACAATTAACAACTGGGCAGGCAAAGGAGAAAGATAAAGTGAAGCAACAACAGTACAGTAACAGCATGGGTAAGCTGGAAAAAGATGTTGACCATTTTTAACCAATGCTACATTTACAGTATATATTTATAAGTGTTGTATTTCATTGTGCCTTCAGATTAGATAGATTTTCAATTAAATATTTTCAATCATTATTTGCAAACTGTACATATATCGCAGTATGCGGGCCTATGTTTTATCTTTGTATGCCACTGTCCGTCATATTTAATTCCAAAATGTTTTGTTATTACGCCATACTGAACTGTCAGTATATCAGCAACAACAAAACCAAAAAAAAAAAGTATACATACGCCAGTATGATCGGTATTAAATTGACTTCACCACTAATTTACTGGATGCCATTTTCACTAATAACTCTTGGTAATGTTGTTTCGTTTTATATAGTCTATGTTTCGCTCACGCCTCCTTTGTCGAGCTCCAGCACCGGTATAGCAGAGGGAGAGAAGAGGTGAGGAGCTCTCACTGAGCCTATTTTCGTTTTCACAAAAGTCCTGACCAAAGACCAAAAACGTTTTCAAATACATGACACTTATCTTCCATTCAACACGTAAGACTTGTTTGCACTAAACCAACACGTAAGATAATAGTTGAAATGTCATGAATTTTCCAAGAGTTTACAGGGGAAATACGTGTACTCTTGCACACTGTGCGTCCTCGTTGCAGAGTTGTGTTTTCGCAACCGAGTGAGTCATCTTGCCGAACATAGACGATCTAGTGTGGTGGGATGTCCACGTGCTGCTGCTTTGACCAATCCGAGGAGTGCGGGAAACCGTTGGCGTTTGAATTGTCCTCTGAAAACAGCGGCAGATGACAGCAGCTTGTTGCGCTCGCAGAAATTGCTAGATAGCTTGAGAGTTAAATACATCACCCGTAAACATCTTTCTGGACTTAAGCTTTGCCTGCTATCATCGACTGAAAATGTCGAAGAAACAGATTTACTATTCTGACAAGTACAACGACGAGGAGTTTGAGTACAGGTATGAACGTGTTTGGCATTTGCTAACATATTTAGCAAATATCCGTTATTTTGTGTTGAGTAACGTTAACGTTAGTTCGCTATTCGTCAGTTCACGGTTATCTTACGGTTAACGTTAGGGTAGCCAACGTTACGTGGCTCAACATGACGTTAACGTCTACTGGCATTTTGAGTTGGTAACTTGTGGATTTTACGTTAGCTAGCTCAGCGCTAACGTTACGTTACGTATTTAGGTTAGAAAATAATACCTGCTCAAACTGGTCCACAGCTAGTCAAGGTAACAACTAGCATGGCTAGTCGACTCAGATGTTAATAATCGGTTTGGTTTGAACATTGTGGGGTTCATCTAAATCTGAACGTTACTAACGTCAACTTTATATTGAAGTTCCCTTAATTTCTTTTCCTCAACGTTAACGCTACTCCTGTAACGTTAACTTTGCCGTCCTTAAAATATAAATTCTGAGCTCCATTGGGCCATCCTTGACAGTTTCTATTTATCTTCCCATAGGCATGTCGTGCTTCCAAAGCAGTTGTCTAAACTGGTGCCATCCTCCCACTTGATGACAGAAGATGAATGGAGGGGACTGGGGGTGCAGCAGAGCCAGGGCTGGATTCACTACATGATCCACAAACCAGGTGAGTAACCGTGGATAGGTTTCCATTTTTCAAGTAACGTTACTGCCTTAAAATGATGCTCACAATATGTATATTAAACAAACTATGATCATTGTAATTAATCTTTCTTTTTAAACTGGTTGTGAAGAGAGCCTTTCTTATGTGTCTACAAGAGGTTGGGGATCTAACTTTACAGTCTAGTGATAGAACGATTGATCCTGCCGATATCTGGCATTTGAGATAATCTGCACTTACAAGGCCGATAAACAAAAAATAGCTGCGGACACATCTGCAGGCAGCCTAGTCAGTGTGTCTGCTGTGGAACAATGTTAGTGCTCCCCCCTTGTGAGTTTTGAGCCCTAAATGTCCTCATTCACCATCATCTTTTCTAAATGTTGACACGTTTCTCCCATCCAAATGACAGCTAATCTAAAACCATTCCTGGCTATGTTCTGAAATCTCCAGCATAACCCAATGTATTTTTCTATTTCATTGATTAATAAAATTTCCATCTAAAACACATTACTCAGTCCCTCCAGCATTTCGTGATGTTGCAATCACAACTATTAACACAAATTCAACAAATTCCTTTGAATTTAGTACGACTTGCAATTTTGACCATTGCAAATTTTACCTATCATCCCCGTTTCCCACAAAACGTTATCATATGACAGCTTGTCACTTCTTTGTTTACAAGACACAGCAGACATGTGATACCAACAGGTTGCATTTGCTGACAAAAAAAGGACTGTAAAAAAACAGTATCCGGATCTTCTTTCAAAGCTGGGGTAAAGTTTTACCTTTGCAGTTTTCACTTATTCCTACAATTGCATTACCAAAAAACATCCCAAAACATGACAACTTTCATCGTAATTTTTTTTTAGAAAAGCTGCCGCAAAATCAGGCATTTCAGACTGCAACAATCACAAAAAAGGCCCATGAAATCCTGGAGGGACTGGTTTCTGGCTACGACAACATATATATTAGATTGTACTCTGCATGGAATAATGAAAGTATACATGTCTTTTCTTTGTTTTGATATCGGCATTATATATCGTCCATTGGCGGCCCTGCTCTCTAAATAGCGGCATCAACCACTGAAAAACCCATATCAATCGACCACTACTACGGTCCTTATTCTGTGCAAATGTTTGGTTTCAGGCATCTGAATTAGTCAAATGAAATGGGTACAGTTGTTTTTTAGAACAAAATTTGTCTTTGTATTACTATCACTCAACTGCAGTAAGGAAACACTCTCCAGGCAAATGCAATGATGGAATTTTGTACTTAAGACTATGAACAAGGAAAATACCTCCTTGTTTTGTGTAACTCGGACACATTTTAGCTTTAATGTGCATTCTTGCACAGAAGGACTTTGCATTTTGTCGGCCATCTCTTACTTTGTAGTCCGCTGTGAAGGAATCTCTTCATGACCATTATGTAGAGGAGGAATGATAACAGTGACCAGTGAGTCTTGTTTTACAACAGATGTACAGCAGCATTTGAGTATTGTATTACAGTAGAGTACCTGAGTGCATCCTTAAACCGTTACAAGCATAGTACACTGTATGGTGTAACCACTGTACTGTGGATGATGCTAACAGATACTACTTATTTGCTTCACTCCTCAGAGCCACACATACTGCTTTTCAGAAGACCTCTCCCAAAGGATTAAATGGGAACCATCTGTAAAAAGCCTACTATCATCTTTCCTGACATGTATTGTCTTTGGACCATACATCTCTCCTGCATACATCTCTACATATGTTCTCATGTAGGAAACCCTTAGTTGTATTATGTTTGTCCTTTAAACTCCCTCAATTTTTAGAGGTAATGAGAGGCAAATGGCTTGATTGTGAATGATATCCCTTGTAAACAATATTGTACATTTTAATACATTTTTTTTTTTAAATGTCTTTTGATGCCATTTTGTTATGATTGATTGATTTACTGTGGTCATACAGGCATAGGGTTTTATTTTTCTCAAGCACCCAATTTTCCTAAAAGCTTTGTGTTTGAACATTTCCTGTTCTTTAAACGTATGTTTTGTGTTGTGTACATAATATTATTTCTAGATATTATAAGTGTTGACAGCGAGTCACTGTCAATTCAACAATTTTTTTGTTGCTGAAAGAACAAAATAAAATGTACTACTTCACATATGTTTTCTCATGAATTTTTTTTTTTCCTACGAGATTACAGAATAATGTTTCTGTAATTATTGGGGAGTGTATGATTTCAGTCAGAAACATTGACAACTAGTGGAGTAACAAATTCTGAGTGCCTGATGCCCAGGGAGTAGGCTGGTGCTCGAGCTTTGTGTACTGTCACTTTCTCTGGATTATAAGTTCCAGGGCCAGGTTTCTTGGTAGCATCTCTGGGAAAGCTGTGACGTCCCAGCATGGAAAATGCTGGCTGTCTGGGTAGATAAACACTTGGGTCTGTACTGTTGTATCTGCAGGGCCCTGGCGTCTTGGCTAAATCCACAGATGGTCCCCCTGTGCTGTAACTACCTGACATAGTGTAGCTGGCGCTGGCTGGCTTATTTGGGACTTGAGAGCCCATGAGTGGAGGGAGACAGTATTTGTTAGGAGCAGGTACTGAGTCGATGCTCCGGTAGTGTGTACGAGAGCTCATTGTATAGGATGGGGGTCTGCGCTGGAGGTTGCATGGTGGGGCTTTCTCCGGGCTGTACGCACCTGGTCCAGGTGTCTGGAAGAGCTCTCCTAGTGAACAGAAAACAGTTGAATTCTGATTTTTTTTTAGCAAGGATCTGTACCAAGCAAAGATGTTTTCTTGTCTGTAGAATATGATGTGTAGGCCAGGACATCTATGCAACATGACAATATTTAATTTAAAAATGGTATTTTGACACATTTTTTCTTAACAAACATTGCGACTTCTGTGATTTGAAAATTGCAGTAGACAACACTGCGATTTCGATCAGAGTTTGATTAATTGTAACACCATATGTTAGTGTGTGTACTTAGTGGGGGTTCAGATTTTCAGTTGTAACAGCTGACACTGGATCTCTACAAGTGGTGTCAACAACAAATGTTTTCATGTAAGGGTTCACGCTTTCACAATAATGGCACTATTAGATTGATCTCAGTGACGAATTCATCATTACAACATGCAAATTAATCTGTGAAACAAAATGTGCACTCATAATAACAGATTTTTGCATATTCTAAACAGGAACTTACTCTGTGCTTTAATTCTGCCCAGCATTGAGTATGCAGGTGTGCCATCCCTCCCAAAACGAGTGATTTTTGCATCAATATGATACTGAGGCCCCGGACTTGAGTCAACACAATACACTGCAGGGGAAGTAAATAGTTATGATCAATTCAATACACTGTGTTCTCTGTCCGTTTGGTTTGATCATGCAAGGGTTCTAAAATAAACTGGATAAATGAATACAAGGTGAGAAATAACTACAGAGGTATCAGGTGTTGTCTCCCCCTACTGGCTTTACTTTTACATTACACCACTTAGGATGTATACCACTCAGTGACTTAGCTCATGAGATGTATTTGAGGATATGAAATAATTCTAAAAACAATTTAATAATCGTAATTATATAAATGATTGTGTTTTGTAATGTTTCTGCTGGTTTATTCTTAATTATCTCTTGTATGGCTTTGACCAAGGCAGTGTCAAAGTGTTTTATCCCTTATATAATCAATGTTTCCTCTTTAGCTATATGAAAAAGGTGAAAAACTCACTGTTGTCACTCATCTTGCCATGGAAAGAATAGGCAGGACTTGTTGGCTTGGTGAAGTCATGGTCAACAAATCCAATGGTTGGAGGAAGCCCATAGCGACCAGGTCCTGGCCCTAGAGATGGGGGGGGGGGGATACCACAGAAATGGAAGGCCTACACACATACACATTATATGTGATAAAATACATTTACAGTGAATAAATCACAGATGTGCAGTAAGGGAGATTTAAAGCAGCAACAGTATATACTGTAAATCAGCAGCTGGGCTTCTTCTGCAGTTTTGTGTGCCATAGAAAAGTAAGATCCTGTGCCAGCAAGTATATTTCAGCATCTGTCGGTGAGTATGCAATGTCCATTTATTTACAAAATTATAGAATTTTGCATAACTCAAAATAACTGATCACCTTTTTGCCCAGCTCATAAACTCCAGTATGAGAGACAAAACATCTGCATTAGACCTGCATCGTCATTCTGCTCCTTTACAACAGATCATAATTAGACCTTATAATTTGCACCCAATTAGCTTAGAGCTGACTGCATCTGATCATTGTCCATGGTTTGCATTTGGTCAGACAATCAGCTAGCAAGCAGGTTGCTGCACACACCAAGACACAACCTAGGGGAAAGCATTACATCAGCACACAAGTGTTCACAGGCATGTGCGCAAGCAGGGGAGCATTTTTCACAGAGAAAAGCGAGTCCTGGCAGGTCTGCACACCAGGAAATCCTCGTCCACGTTCCCCACTTCGAAAAGATGAAATACGAAGTGACCTATTGGAACATAGCTAGTGATATTTGCCTTTTAGGGTGTAAAGTTTTATACACATGGATTTATACAATCAGTAAGTAAGTAGCTTTTTTTTTATAAGAACTCATCTTCCATTGATTAACTTACCCTTTTCTTTTCCTGCAATTACTGGGTATTTTCTCTCCATTTGAGTCTTTGTAGAAGTGATGAATGCTTCAGGAATCCCTCAATCGTAGCAGTACTACCAAAATATTCATACATGTCAATCATAACAACAAGATGCTAGCTAAAGTAATAATGATTGACAATTAAAAAAAAAAAATACACAGAAAAAACAACCTTAAAGGCAGTACCTTTGCAAAAGTAAATTCCCTTTTCTGAACCGGGGCAGGCTGCATACTTGGAAATCCAGTCATCAGAGGAGCACCTCACTCCTTAATCCATGTCCACCTTTGTGTTCTTTCTTCAGATATTAGACAGTATTGTTTCTCCAGGTTCCAGCATCACTCATTACCTTGGCTGACAGTGAAACCCAGAACCCTGGATGATCCAGAATCAATCCCTAATTTCCTCTGAAAGGAAACCTGAGACACAATACACATCAAAGTGTCAACAGCAGAGAAGACCCTAGACTGGATAGGGTTTTATCTCACTGCCTATTTGTCCCTTTGTTCAAATGCTCCATCTGTGGTGGCTCAGACAGGTGAATAGCCCTTCCACCACAGAGGTAGATGTATAGGTGCACTCAGCTGGTACTTAGGAACAATGTCATCACTCCGATTCACTCATGTAATGCTAGCTCCCCCTGCAAACCATGAAACCAAGATCCCCCTCTCCCTCCTTTCTCTTTTCACTCTTTCTACTCATCACAGTGTGGAGACGCAATATCACTCTTCAGCCATGCATGGGGTTACCACAGAGACTGCTGTGTGGACACTTTGCTGCAGCCAGGTCCCCTGCACTGTTTGCTTATTGTCACTACAAGTTAGTTAGTTAAATTCTGAACCACTGACAGTAGCAGATCTCCATACACACCTCTCTACATTTATGAAAGCAGGTATGCAGAGAGAATTTATATTTATTCCCCTGTTGTCAAATGTGAGTACATGCACAGTACAGCCTTGACACTATATACTGTGTTGCGTACATTTTCTTCCCCAAAACACGCATACATAAAGCCCCAACGCAGACGCAGGTTCAGATGCAGTGCAGTTAAAGGCAGAGCATCTCCATTTGGCAGACCCTATTGAATTGACAACATACAACCCCTCTGGTTTCTTATCTTTAACTTCAGGTCAAACCGATTACCCAGATGCCAGTTACAGTTGAGCCCTCTTTGATCTCCTCTAATCCCACTAGTGATGATTTTGAAGGATGCATTTAAAGGCCTGAGCTGCCAGTTGCTAGAGGTCGCAGTAACCGAGAGGGTCAACAAGTGACATGTGCAGAAAACAAACATTAAACTTTAACAGCCTCCCGGCTGCTGCTCTGGTAACTCGAATCTGTTGTTAGCAGTTACACAAACGGTGCACATCCAAACGTAGAGATGTATACAAACTGGTACATGCATGTACATGCTTTCCATCTTGTACACAGAAGCATGCCAGGGGTCAGAGAGTCAGTTATCAAAGCAGAGGACTGTCTTAAGCAGCAGCGTTGTAATACAGCTCATTGCTGACAGGAAATTATCTCCAGACTTAACTAGCCTTTCAAAGGAAATGGAACACAGCTTTCATAAACAACCGTATTGCAGCTCCTCAGTTAGTGGAGCAGATACATGTACGTAACAGAATGTATTGTCCTAAAAAGTAACAAGAGGTGTTTCTTTCTTACAGTTATCCAAAGTGTAATTGCACAAGATGAAACAGAAGCAGGGAGTATGATAGCAAAGCACAGAAGCCGTGACTTGAACCCCGATAACCCATACTGGACACATTAGCAAGTCTTGTCTGCTTATGAACCACAGCAGAGAGTGAAGGAAACAGAACCAAAAACTTGGATTGTATACAAATTTTATTCTCGTTTGTTTTTAAAAGCACAATGTTTGATATGAGTAGGGGCAACATTTAATTAAATTTGGCACATTTACAGAAATTCAAAACTTCATTCTCAATTTTTAAGTTGATTGCTTCACGAACCAAAATTTAACAAAAACAAAATAGCTTATGAACTGTACAATCAAATCTCAAGGTAAGGTAAGGTGACTTGAGAGTAGATGATGTTGGTGTCTTGGTACGATAGTTCCAGAAACATTTGGGCCGGTGCATCCTAGTAGTAAAAAAAGACGCATATGTTGTAACTGTAAAGTTCTTGGTTTGTGTTGGCCAGAGACCTTTGTTTCATGTCAATCCCCTTATCTTTCATTATGTTTCTTGTCAATCTCTTCTGTGCTGTTTAATAAAGCTGGTAAAAAATCTTAAAAATGAAAAACATTTGAGCTTATGTTTCTGTAAAGCATATGGTTAGCATATGTCTTTTTTCCAGCAGGATACCAACGCAGGAATTTCATCAAACATTTCAATAATTGGGTTAAAGCTTGCTATGAAAGAAAGAAAAAAAACTTTGACAGCACATATCTTTTGTCTTTGAACCACAAGGGCAAAAAGTAGAATGTATGGGTGGGCAATGACATAAAAAAAATAAAATTAAAATGATATGACCTCTAGCTACAAATAAATACC